TGACGTGATAAAACGCCATGACCCAAGCAGCTTGGGGCTTACAGTTCCAGAGAGTTAAGAGCTCACTGGCCACAAGAGCAGCTGACAACTCACATCTGGAGCTTCTGGCAGGAAGCAGAGGGAACAAACTTGAAATGAGGTGGGTCTGAGATCTCATAGCCTGTCCCCAGTGACACCCCCCAACAAGGCCACACCCCCTAAGCCTCCCAAACACCACTACCACCTAGGAACCAAGCACTCAAATGCCTGCGACTACGGGGGTCACCGGGGCTCTGAGGTGTGCTCAGATGTGAACCTGTAAGCATTTTCTCTGAAAATTCCTCCTTAAGAGGCACTGTGTCTAGCAAGTGACATTATCAGATCATGGGCCTGGAAACTCATGGAAGAACAGGAAGGGGCACCTTGAGGGGCTCAGGTTGGACAGGAAGAACCTTGGCTTTAAGTATTAATGTTTTTTTTTTCTTTTTTTTTTGGTCTTCTCTTGGTTCTGCTCTGGGCAGCATTAACTTTTTTTTGTTTTGTTTTGTTTTGTTTTTGCTTTTCAAAACAGGGTTTCTCTGTGTAACAGTAACAGTCCTGGAACTAGCTTTTTTAAAAAATATTTATTTATTTGTTTATTATGTATACAGTATTCTTCCTGCGGGCCTCATTACAGATGGTTGTGAGCCACCATGTGGTTGCTGGGAATTGAACTCAGGACCTTTGGAAGAGCAGACAATACTCTTAACCGCGAGCCATCTCTCCAGTCCCCTAGAACTAGCTCTTGTAGATCAGGCTGGCCTCGAACTCACAGAGATCCGCCTGCCTCTGCCTCCCGAGTGCTGGGATTAAAGGCGTGCACCACCACCTGGCAACTTGTTTCTCTTCTACATCTATTATCCATGAATACTGACCTCAAGTACCAGTTTCCTTCTTATTAACTTTGAAAGACAGTCATTTTTAACTGTTCTTTTTTTGGGAAACTAAAGGAGTTTGCGCGGTCACATTCCAGGCTCTTAGCTCCTGGTCCTCTACTCCAGGCATGGTTCAGGCCAGCAGCCACAGCTCAGGACCTCTGGAGGTCCTATATTTTGGGGACACAGGTTTTGCTCAGAGGCCCTTAGGGACCTCATCCGCTGCCCAGATTAGGAAAGGCCTGGTGAAGGGCAATGAGAGTGAGCAGGGCAGATTAAAGGATTGGGGACACTGCTCTTCAGGGAACTCACCATCTGGAAAGAAGTCAGTGAGACCCCAAATCAGTGCTTGACCCTAGACTATCATGGGACTTCAACTCAGAGAGGTAGGCTGTGGGTCCAGATAAGAACCTTGGTTCTCCTTGAATCCCAGCCCTACCAGGCCTCATGCCCTAGGGCAGCCGAGTTCTCTCCTCTCCTGGGCATCCCCCTTCAGACATCTCTCTGCAACAGCCAAACTCTTTACAGCCCTCCAATAATACGAGGACAGAAATGGGACACATGAGTAGAGAATAATCTATAGGGCTCACCTTTCTGAGGTCTTGGCGTTTCCACAGTGATAAAACGACGTCAGTGTTCCATACACCAGGCACAGGAGAAGCAGCCCCTGCGCTCAGGAAGGTACGGTGGATCAGCATCCAAGAGAGCCCAACCGCGGCCCAGCGGCGGTATTCAGAAAGGAGAAGAGTTTTTCCATCGTGTGAGTCACTAGGCTGGCTGCCTGAGGCAGCTGAGAGCTGAGGCTGCCTGGGCCTTGCTCTAGTCAGGTCTGCATCACAGAGCAGGGCAGAGTCACAGAGGGTTTGTGAGGGCGGGGAGGAGGGTGAGCCCTCAGCCCCTCCCTACTCCCGAAATCCCAGCTTGAGAAGAGCCCAAGCTTGCTGTTCTCTTTCCCACCCCATATTCCTCACTTTGGGCTCCACATGGAGCTTTTCTGTTGGTTCCTTCTGTCTCCAGGGCTCTACCTCAGCCGGCTTTAGGTTTCGCAGCTCTCAATCTACGTGCGATCGGTTTTACAGCTTTGGACTCCAGCAGCCTGCCTGGGCTTCTTGCTTTGGGTTGGATTTTTAATCTCAACAGCACAAATGTCGTCCAGTACATCTTATCTATGGAACGGTTCTATTTTCACTCGGATTAGGAAGAAAAGTTCTCTTGTACTTAGGTCTATAAATGTTGACTAGAACATTCTCATGTTCCAGTCCGTACTTTAACCAGGGGTCGACTCAAATCACCAAACTCAAAGAAATATAAAAAACACTCCGCTAACTGCACACAATCACACCTTCCAGCGTTCTTGCATATAGTTTTATCCCGTTTATTTTTCTGAAACTAGTGAAGCTTCAAGTGGACCAAGACTTTTAAGTCACACACACACACACATGCGCTGTTCGCACGTCTGGGACGAGCTGGTCTTCTCGCCTTCATTTCTCCAACATCATCTTTTGACCCTGACTTCCCCCAACTCTACCTAGAGGGTAGAATCCCGGCCACGCCAGCAACTGCATTGGCATTCCACGATTCAGACTGGGCTGACTGACCATAGGCCCTTGGGATGAGTCCCCAAGTCCTTGGTGACAGGGTGGGACCCAGGCAGAACCTGGGGTCAGGGCTCTCTCTGATTATCCCTGAACTAAACTTGCTATAACCACCTGGTCCCCAAGCTGGAGCCTGCCATTAGTATTTCTTCTCAGGTTTAAATAAATCCAATTCATACCCCACTGTCACCTACAGTGTTCTAGACTTGTCCTCCATCTGCTCATTTCTCACGACTCCCTTCAATGCTAAACCCCATCACTTCCTACTACAGCCCATGCTCATGAGCTGTCCTGTCCTGCTGCGGGACTGACTTGAAGCTAGGCGGAGCCTGTCAGTTAAGCAGGACACGCCCCTGCCCAGAGGACAAGCTCCTCTTCATTGGCTTGCAGCCTCGGGCAGGTCTTCCTTTATTTGTCCGTCCCTGCTGCTTGACTAGGCTTCCCCGCCTGTTTCATTCGGCCTTAAACTAATGGACCTTTGGGAAAGGTGGATAAATAACACTTGGCACCAGTGCCTAGATATTCTCCTGTATAGGCTCGTGCCAAGAGCTCAAGCCTACATGAAGTTTCAGTAACAATTCTTTTCCCAGATCCTACTTTGGTCCATTTTCAGTGTCTCCCAGATGTCCCCGCAAAGCTGAAAGAACGGCTGAGGACTGTGTTCTCCCCAACAAGGGAAACTTCACGAAGGTGCAGCTGCGTCTGTGAGGACATATTTTGGATTGCTAGCAGTGACCTCCACTGATGTCAAGTGATAGAGCGTCCTAACATGCATCCTTCTTACACCAACTGAACTATTGCAAACACAGTTGCTAGCTGACTTGTGGACTCTCAGCAACCCAGTGAAGGAAGCAGGGCAGGTCCTGGGAGTATTTTCCCAATGGATACAACCAAGCAAGCGCAGAGAAGTGAAGTAACCTCTAGGTGGCAGTCAGTCACAAACCTCACAAATTCCTATGTTCTCAATGCATCACTTAAAAAGTGATTTCTTAATAATTAGGTCTGACTGACTGGTTTTGTGTGTCAGTGCGACACTAGAGTCATCAGAGAGGAGGGAGAGATCCAGCTGTAAGGCATTTTCTTAGTGATTGTGGTGGCTTGAATGTCACTGAGCCTCATCATCTCAGGGAGGTGCACTAGTAGGAGGAAGTGTGTCACTGTGGGGGTGTGCTCTGAGGTCTCCTATGCTCAGGATCCTGCCCAAGGTCTCAGTCAACTTCCTGTTGCCTGAAAGATGGAAGAACTCTCAGCTGCTCCTCCAGCACCATGTCTGCTTGCGTACTGCTATGATCCCCACTGTGATGATAATGAATAATTATGGACTGAACCTCAGAAACTGCCAGCTCCCTCAATTAAATGTTTTCCTTATAGGAGTTGCCAATGGTCGTGGCGTCTCTTTGTGGCAATAGAAACCCTAACTAAGGCAGTGATCAACGGTGGACAGCCCGGTCCACGGTGGGTGGGGCCATCCCTGGGCTGGTGGCCCTGGGCTCTAGAAGACAGCAGGCGGGAAGCTATGCGAGTAGCCGGTAAGCAGCTCCCTCCACGGCCTCTGCATCCGCTCCTGCCTCCAGGTTCCTGCTGTTTGAGTTCCTGTCCTGACTTCCTTCAGTGATGGACAGAGCTGTGGGTGTGAAAATGTAAGCTGAACAAACCTTTCCTCCCCAGCCTGCCTTTTGGTCATGGTGCTTCACACAGCAATAGAAACTCTAATGAAGACAAGGTCCTAGTTTTAAAAGGAAAGCAATCTCAAAGCCGAGAATATGACCTAAAACATTGGCCAATTTGTGAGTAGAGTTGTTCTGTGTGCTTGGTCGTCTACTAGGCTCACAGCTCCAGCACCCTCTGCATTCCTGCCTCCTCTCCTGGGAGTAACAGTGTGACATTCTTCTAAACTGAGAGCCAGGTAATGAGAATGGGGTGTGTGAGAACTTTCTGAATGCCTGTCATTCCAACATCAATAAAGGCGGTTTGTAGAAAACAGTACTTTCAAGGTTTGTATGAGTTAAAAAGTGGTGGCTCACGCCTTTAATCCCAGCACTCGGGAGGCAGAGGCAGGCGGATCTCTGTGAGTTCGAGACCAGCCTGGTCTACAGAGCTAGTTCCAGGACAGGCTCCAAAGCTACAGAGAAACCCAGTCTCGGAAAAAAAAAAAAAAAAGCAAATGTACGTTAGCCTCTTCCCTCAAGGCTGGGGATCTACTTGGAAGAGGAAGCAGAAGAAGAGGAAGCAGAAGATTGTAAGAGACAGAGTGACGACCAGAAAACCGTGTCTTCTGGAGACAACAAGATTGATGCACACGTGAACTCAGGAACTGTGACATCATGCGTAAGACCTGCACAGGCTCAGTCAAATCAGAGAAAACCCAGCACAGCTGAGAAGATGGGGCTGCAGGCGAGCCTGTGGGGCATTTCTTTAATTAGAGATTGCTGTGGGAGGGGCCAGCCCACTGTGGGTGGTGCCGCCCCCGGCACGTGGTCCTGGGTTCTCTAAGAAAGCAGGCTGAGCAAGCCACGGGAGCAGACCAGTTCCACGGCCCAGTAAGCCAGCATTCCTCGAGGCATTTGTACCAGCTCCTTGTTGTTTATCACAGCGACGACCCTAAGACAGGAATTGGTGACAGGTTTGTGGGCTATTGCTGTGACAAACCTGGCCATGTTTGGGGAGGGTTGTAGAAGGACTTTGGAACGTTGTCCTAGAGAAGCTGAGTTTTCAAAGCTCAGTTGTGAAACCTGGAAAACGAGAGGATAATGCTGGGAGCAACACAGTCGAGGGGAACCCGGCCTGTGATGTTGCAGGGGAAGCGAAGATGTCTATCAGGGCCATTTGCTACTTTGAATTAAGACTCTGTGGTTCTGGTCAGCCAGCTCAGGCTAAAGAATCAGCTGTGAGTAGTAACAAGATTCCAGAACCCCTGAGGTAGAAGCTTTGTGGTTCTGGGACACTTCTGCTGCTTAGTTAAGAAATTATCGGTGCTTAAGGAGAGACCAACATCACCGAGGTCAAATCTTCTGGGGGTGTTTTCGCAGGGTCAGCACACAGAAGCTGTGTTCCAGGGGGCCTGAAGTTGCACCTCGCGCTGGCGGCTTGAAGTTGCACCTCGCGCTGGCGGCTGCACTTGGGAGTGTAAGCTCCATCCAGGTGGTGCTGGTTTGGAGGCAGAACAGGGTCAGGAAGAACTGCTGAGTCACGGCACTGCGGGCACTGTGTGGCGGAACCAGAGTCCCTGAAGGGGATTAGAACAGGGGCATCGGTGAAAGGACAGGTCAGTTGCGGCAGAGACTCCAGCGTTTCGGAGATGCCGGTACCAGGAATGATCCCCAGGGACAGCAGCAGTGGGGAGTGGAGCGAGCCGGAGCCTAGAAGACAAGCTGTGTGCTGCAGAGGGCAGAGGGGAGAAGCAGCAACCCGAGCCCTCAGGAGGAGCCCTGAGCATTTGAGTTAATCGCAGCCTCCCGGACGCTGAGGTATTCACACCGTTAGAGCTGCTTTTGCTCTGTTCAGATTGTGACCGTGCCCTGGTTCTTCCCCTTGAAGTAAGAGAGTATTTAACTTAATTTTTATTTTTCTAGGAGGCCACAGTTGGGAGACTTTGAACTTTTAAGGACATTTTGGAGTTTTGCAGAGACTTTGAATGTTTTTGAAGGAGATTTAACGTCTAAAGTGATTAACTTTATAAAGATGGCTGGACACTTAAGTTTTCAATGTACTTTTATAATATATTAATATTCATGAGATCCTGGGGACAAATGATAAACAAAAGTTCTAGTTGAAAAGTGACAGGTTGGGCTGGAGAGATGGCTCAGTGGTTAAGAGTGTTGCCTGCTCTTCCAAAGGTCCTGAGTTCAATTCCCAGCAACCACATGGTGGCTCACAACCATCTGTAATGAGATCTGGTGCCCTCTTCTGGCCTGCAGGCATATACACAGAATATTGTATCCATAATAAATAAATAAATTAAAAAAAAAGAAAAGTGACAGGTTGTCTATCAAGTTGATGACAGAGATTATCATCTTGACACAAGCTAGAGCCACCTGAGAGGTGGGAACCTCAGCTGAAAAAAAAAAACCATCAGATTGGCCTATAGGGAAGTTTGTAAGGCATTTTATTAATAATTGATGTGGGAGGGCCCAGGCCCGTGGGAGGTACTACCTCTGGGCAGGTGTTCATGACAGAAAAACTCTCCCTCAATAACTGTCCGGGAGTTTTGATGGGGATGTGTAGCTTTCTTGTCAGATTTTCTTTGGTCTGCCGGCCCGCAAATAATGATATGGAGATTTACTGTTAATGTTTGGTCTTAGCTTAGGTTTATCCCACTGCCTCTTAGAACTTAAATTAACCCATTCCTATTAATCTACATCCTGCTACGTGGCTCTTCACCTCCCCCATTAACGCATGTCTGACTTCCTTTGTGTCTCACTGGTGTTTCTTGATGTGCCAGATTCACCCCCCTGATCCTCTCTCTGCCTGGAAGTCCCACCTAACCTCTTCCTGCTTTGGAACTGAATAGTTCCTTTGGACTAGTCCACTCTTTATCAATCACAAGACTCATCTTTACACAGTGCACAATAAGAATATCCCCCAACAGGACCGCTTGGGATTTCTAGACCACTGGGGATAGGATGGTCATTGTCACGATATTGATTCCTCTTGCCCGAGGGCATGGGATCTTTCCCTTTAGTGTCTTCAACATTAATGTTTTTATTGAAGAGGTCCTTGATTTTCCCAGTTCGGTTTATTCCAGGACATATTTTTGTGGCTATCATGATTGAGATTGCTTCCTTGACGTTGGTTATGTTTGGTGTGTTTGTAGGAGTGGAGGAAGCTGACCCTGTCAGCACATTCCTGACTGAGCTCTAGAAACTCCATCACTGTACTAAGCACACCATGGCCCAGCACACCCCTCACCTCATGAAGAAATTGGCTCTGGGAAGTTGATTCGTGGAGCCCACTGAAACTCCAAAGACAGGTGAACATCGCACAGTCTGCAGGATGGAGGCTTCCCAACACACTGAGGCTTTCCTCAGGAGATCATGAGGTCCTAGGGATTAGGGAGGAAGGTGCCCTCTTGTTCACCGATAGACTATTATGTGAGAGTCACTAATATAGTCTCTGCAAACATGAAAGGATGCCTGTTCCTGAGGACACATCAGGGTGATCTACTCCTTGGCAGTATATCAGAGCTGCCTTGGTCCTGACTCCAGCATGTGAGTGTATGTGATTGTGCGACCATGTGTGCACGTGCCTGTGTATGTGTGTATGTATGTGCATGCCTGTGCACGTGTGTTTGTGTGTGCTTGCCCCGTGAACTACTTTAAAGATGTAGTTGATAAAGTTCTTGAACATTTTGCCTCCCATTAGGTATTTGTATGCTCAGAGGGCAACTTTAGAGTTCAGAGTCCCTTAAAACCCGAGTCACGATTCTCTAAAAGCAAAACTTGAGACACGATGCGTGATGACCCAACTTTACGGAGCACAGGACGTCAGTTCTGCAATTAACCTGGACCTCTTCCCAAACGCTCGGGAAATTGCTGTTCCAGTTCCGAGAGTTGTGGACACCAGCTGCCATGTCTATTTCTGTTTTACAATTTCGGTTGCTCTGAGCTTTGCAATGATGAGGTTGAGGCAGTTTCTAAGTGCGTCTACTCACAGCCTCTCCAGCCTCAGCTGGAGGGTGATGGAGCTCTCCTGTGCTCACATTCGAGAATCTGCAAAGCAAGTGTCACTTTCTGTGGTGGTTTGAATGAGACTGGCCCCCATGGGTGGACAGATTTGCAGGCATCGTCCCCAGCTGATGAAGTGTCAGGGGCGGAGTCGGAGGTGTGGCCTTGCTGGTGGAGGTGTGGCCGCATTGGAGGAGATGTGGTTTGTTCAAAGAGGTGCGTCACTGTGGGTGCACACTGAAGTTTCAAAAGCCCCCAGCAGGCCCAGTGTCTCCCGCTCCGTGGATCAGGATGTAGCTCAGCCGCTCTCCAGCCCCATGCCTGCCTGCCACAGTAATGACAATGGACTAAACCTCTGAAACTTTAAGAAAGCCCCCAACTAAATGCTGTATAAGAGTCATCTTGGTCATCGTGATATCGCTTCCCAGCAATAGAACAGCGACCAAGACATCATTTCATGGCCTGAGGATCCTGCACAGCCTAAGCCAAAGCAAACAGTGGAGCCGGCTATGGTTGGCCTGCGTGTTCCCTAAAGAACGTAAACTCACTGAACTGCTCTGCGTGTCACTAACTTCTGGGTGCTACACGGAGGGTGAAGGCGGCACCCTGAGAGGGCCTGCGGGACTCCCGGCTGCTCTCCACCACAGCAGATCTTTCACTCACCAGGTAACGATTTTCTCTGTTCACAGGCCTCGTATATAATAGGGGTTGCCTAGGTATTTTTCTAATTGAATAGATCAATGGATAACCAGTTTCCATGCAATGAATGGGGCTGGAAAAACTGCATATGCCCAAGAGGCAAGGCGATGTTGAGAGAAGCATGCTATGATCATAATTATTATATGATATTGAAAATATGTAGCAACTAATAATAATAATAGAATAACAGTCCTAAATGGCATTTCCTTGCAGAGCAGAGTTCCTCAAAGTGTGGCCTCTTGTATCCAGTCATTTGGGTGAAAGTTGATGTCTACTTCCCGAGGCTCGTTTGAGTTTTGGTAAGTGAACCCTGAGGTATAGTTTTATACTGTTGTTTTCTTAAGTCAGGGTTGGTTTAGCCCTGGTTAGTCTGGAATTCTGACCCTGAATTCACAGAGATCCGCCTGCCTCAGCCTCCCAAGTACTAGGATAAAAGTATGTCCCATCATGCCTTGCCAGGATATGCATTTTATCAAATTTCTTTGGGTAATTAAAAAACTTTTTAAAAAATTTATTTATGTGTATAAGTGTTTGGCCTGCACATCTGTCTGTGCATGTGTGTGCAGTGTCTTTGGAGGCCAGAAGAGGGGGTCAGTTCCTCTGGAAATGGGATTACAGATGGCTGTGAGCTGTCAGGTGAGCTCGCTGGAGGAGCAGCCAGGACTCTCAGCTGCTGAGCCACCTCTGTAGCGCCACGCCTTAGGTGACTTTAATTCACTGAAGTTTGGAGATCGCTGGCATGGTGCTTTTGCCTTAGGAAAACCACACTAGACCTCAAGTCCCCCACTTATGGACAGACTGCCTGAATCTGCAATGTTCCTCAGGGGCACGTGTCTTACTGTAGGCTGACTCTCAGTTGAAAGGCGGTATACAGCTTAAGAGGCAGGGACTAATGAAGTCGTCTGTCACTGGGGCCTTTGAAGGTCATTTAGCCCATGGTCTCCTTTTCTCTTTCATTCTGTGACACCAACTGAATGGGCCCCCACTGACGCTTTTTTAATTTCCTTCCTGTTTTAACTTTGTTTGTTTGCCTCCCGAGTGCTGGGATTAAAGGCGTGTGCCACCACTGCCCAGCCTCGAGTCTATCTTATATTATGTTTTATAGAAACCAGACATGGCATCCATGTTTACTTATCAGGGAAGGGGCAACACTGTACTGAGTTGGTTGTGACGCTGTGATTTACTGTGGACAGGGCTTAGTGTAACACTGGCTCTAAGTATTTGGTCTGGGGATGTAGCTCAGTAGTGCGCTGGGGTCGAGTGCCCGCCCAATGGGCATAGGGCTTGCTCTTCAAAGCTTGGTGATTAAGTTAGGAAGCGCCCAGTAAATGTTGGGATTAACTCATAGGGAACGGAGCATTTTACATTACTTAGGAAAATCTTCAACTGTGGAAGTGTTTTGAATCTTTTTATCTTTGGCAATTTCATACATTAACCCCTTGATAACGCTTCATAACTACCTCCCACTGACACCCTCCCTCCCTCCTTCCCCCTCCTCTGAGTCCAGTAAGGGCCGCCTTCCGCAGTCAGTGTTCTCAGCTTCGTCCCCTGCGGGTCTTGTAATGAGTTCCTGGGCACCACAGCCACACCCAGAAGATGGTATTTACACTGCGTCTCCTCTGGCTTTTACATTCTGTTTGCTCTTAGGCTTGTGTCCCTGAGCCTTGGGCAGGGCTTACTGGTGTTGATAAAGATGTCTCAGACAGGACAGAGCATCCAACAGTCACTTCTTGTAAGCCCTTGACCAGTTAAAGTCACTCTTGAGGAACCAGGGAGGTTTGGAGGTCCGTTCCAGCTGTAGTGTGTGTGCCTTTAGTCAGTCTCATCATCTAGTTCTGGTTGTCAGCCGAGAGCAATGGCAGGCAACAATAGCTTGTCTTGTTTTAGGGGCCCTTTCTGATTAGTTCCTCGTGGAACTAGCACTGAAAATTTCATTTAATTACTCATGTCTCTAGGGAAGAACCTTCTGTCTATCCGTGTAGGGTACCTGTTTTTGAACCTTTACAAAATTCTACTTTTAATCAGATGCAGAGGTGAATTTTTATAAAGGAATTTTGTATATGGTTAACCCACACTCAATTCCTTTCCTCCATCCCCTGCCTCACTTAAACCTTCAACCCCCAGTACTTCCCAATTTTCACAGCATCTGAGTTCTAATCCTTCAGCCCTTAAGGCCTCATCCCTCTGCTCCTCTTGGACCGTTTCTGGTTTTGTAAACACACAGTCTGAAAGCTCAAAGCCAGGATCCACATTAGAACACAGCACAATGTCATTTGGTCCACTTTCCTGCGGTTGCTTAACTTCATTTTTCTTTGATTGAGTAAAACTCGACCACATTTCCATTGTCTGTCAGGCTGATTCCAGGAGCGAAGGCCACGGATGAGCAGGCGTTTTTGTAGGACGGTACTGAATCCTTTTGTATATGCCCAAGTTCTATTGCAGGTTTTTGAGAGACCTCCCCGCTGATTTCCACAGTGGCTACACCAATTCACGCTCACACCAACAGCGAACAAGTGTTCTTTCCTTGCCAGCATCACTGTGGTGTTCTTGACTGTCATTGGTATCAGGGGGACATGGAATCCCAAAGTCGTTTAAATTTGCATCTTCCTGATAGCTAATAATTTGAACCCTTTAAAAGATGTTTATTAACCATTTATTTCTTCTTTTGGTAATTCTGTGTACAGCTCCAGGGCCTATTTTCTAATTGGGTTATTTTTATTTTCTTGACATTTAGTCTGAGTTCTCTGTATAGATACTAACCCTATGTTGGATAAACTCCTGGCCAAGATTTTCCCCCACTCTTAAAACTGTCTCTTCATTGGATGTCTTTGTGAAGACACTTTCATGAGATCCCATGTGCCAGTTACTGGTTTTCTTTCACGTGGGATTTGAACCCTATCAGAAAGCATTCGGTTCTGAGAACCTATCTGAAGACTTAAGAATTGATTCATGCTATTTCACTGAAGAAATCAGTTTCATTCAAGAGTCAGTTAGGGTTTGTGCACAGGATGCAATGGCTGACGTCAGCCTAGTGATGGATACTAAATACAGGAGCTGATGCTGTGGTAATTTGTGTTATTTCCATAGACAGAATCGAGACTCGCCCATGAGCTAGGCCTCTGTGTGTGCCTGTATGGGGTTTCTCATGTGGAGGTGGGAAACCTGCTTACTGTGATGGTGCCTCCCCAGGTTGGCTCCTGGGCGGTGTAAGTGGAGAATGGGAGCCTGGCAGCCACTGCATCCATCCCTCTCTCTGCTGCTTTACTGCAAATGCATTGCGCCTAGCTGCCTCAACTTCCAACCATTGGGACTGCTCCATAAAAATGAACATGTGACCTTGAACTGAGCTGAAGGAAACCCCATCCCCCTAAGTTGCTTTTGCAGAGTTATTTTTATCACAGGGTCAGAAAAGAGACCAAGATGGATGCAACAGCAGATGAATTCCGCCAGCATTTCTCAGTGACATGCAAGGCAAAGACGACCACATGGCCCTTCCAGAATCAGGACATGGTTACGACATCTTATTTGCATGCACCGTGTTTCTCAACAGTGTTCTTCTTAGGCACAAAACTGGACAATCCTGGACCTATGCGGATCATTCTTGCTGTTTCCTGTCGGCCGGAGCTGTGGGGTGTCCAGTACGCGCACCTGGCTTGTTCTCCCTGTTGTTGAGACCTGCACTGCTAGGTGAGATGCAGAGGTGAGGTCACTACGGGGAGGGCCGTGGGCTACAGCAGCCACCCTTTCTCTATACAGAGTTCAGCTTGCTCTGCAGCGCGGTGGGACTAAGTGTATTGCAAAGTAGAGAGCAAGCCCCAAAAGGTAAGGGGTTTAGGGGCACAGGCTCAATTGTGCTACGATAGCCCAAGATTCTCATATTTGGCAGTCAGCATGTACTACACTGATGTCACAAACCTCCCCAAGCCAGGCACCTTAAAACAACAGAAATCTAGTCTATGTGTCTGGAAAGTAGACATTCAAGATGAAGGTTGTCGGTAAGCCCACGTGTCCCCCCCTCCCCCCTCCGAAGGCTGCAGGAAAGACCTTCTGTATGCTTCTCCTAGCAAACCCCGGCATTTTGGGCTACTGGCTCAGGACCTCAACATGCCTGTGCAGTCACAAGGCTGTCTGTGCTCCTCTTCTGAGAACACTGGCTAAGGTCAGGAGTAGATGGATCTTCCTCCTTTCTTCCAAGGGATCAAAACCGGGTTAGTTTTCATTTCTAGACCACCATGCCCGAGGCTGCTTGTGTTTGTGCTGATTCTGGGCTAAGCCTGTCACTGATACCCCAGGGTTTAAATGAGTGCTCACAGCTTAGACGAACATCACAGACGTTTCCTGATGGCTCACACATCAAAACATGACAAGAAAGGCTATTTTTGAGGTATTTCCTGCTGAATCAATCCTAGGAAGTAGTATCTTAGGGATCCCCCCAATCTTGTTCCTCCTCCCTCCCCAATCTCCTATCCCATTTCCTGTTTGAGGAAAAAAAAAAAGCCATTCTAGTAGGTGCAGGGGTGGGGATGTTCAGAACAATGAGGCCCACAGGCTGGCCTTCTGAAACGCATTAAGGAGTGTGTAACCACAGTGGCCTGAACCACTCAACTCAGAGCTTCCTAACCGGGACAGGGACGTTTTTAACTGGTTATATGAAGAAAGAGATTTGCCACCTCGTGAGGCTGCTGGCTCGTCACTTGGCGATGCCACAGGGCTGGAGTGGGTGAGAACCTCTGGGTTGCGCTCCCTCTCTACCTCTTCTAGGCCACTTTGTTGCGGGAGCACTGGACTGACACCTCTGCATGCTCTTCTCTGGCAGTCTTCCGTTTGTAACTTTTCAGGTGGGGTCTTGTCACCTACCTCCCCTCCCCTCCCCTCCCCCCCACTCCCACCCCCCAGCCCGTGCAGGGCTCACAGATTTGTGTCAAGGTCTCCCACCTTGTCTTTTTCAGGGCATAGCTTCCTCTACAGTTTTCAAACCAATTAGTTTTGTTCTTTCTCCCCTTTTCTCTACATTTCTTGTCCTTAAAAACTCAGCTCAGGGCTGGAGAGGTGGCTCAGAGGGTAAGAGCACTGGCTGCTCTTCCAGAGGTCCTGAGTTCAATTCCCAGCAACCACATGGTGGCTCACAACCATCTGTAATGAGACCTGGTGCCTTCCATGCCAGCAGTACATTGTATGCTTAATAAATAATTAAATATTAAAAAAAAAAAAAACTCAGCTCAGAGGACATAACCTTGAGGCCACTTTCCGCTGGCCTCCCACCCCTAGAGGTCATCAAAATATGCAGTATTTGCTGTACCTGTTCAGAGCACAGGGGTTATCTGGACCAGGCCATGTGTAATTTAATTAGATAAAGTACTGTACTCAAGTCATGTTTTAGATTCTCACGTATGAAAAGGATGCAGTCAGAACAGTTCTGGCGCGCACCCCACACACAGCAGTTACAGTGCCGACAGCCTTCAGTGCGTTCATCTCACTGGATCTGAACTGCAAAGACCCTTCTGGAAGGAGAGAAGCTGAAGCTCAGACAAGGGAAAAGCATCCGGAGAGCAGATGACACTCTCTCCTGAGGAGGACTGGAGGCATCTATGTCAGATGAGGGATGGTGTGCACACACACCTGTGTCAAATGAGATGGTGTGGTGACATACACACACGCGAGAGACACACTACAGTCCACACACACACGAGACACACTACAGTCCACACACGAGACACACTACAGTCTACACACACACATATCACACACACAGTCAGCTGGAGAGATGGTATGGACACATACAGTACACACACACACACACAGTCAGCTGGAGAGATGGTATGGACACATACAGTACACACACACACACACACACTACAGTCTACACATACACACACACAGTCAGCTGGAGAGATGGTATGGACACATACAGTACACACACACACTACAGTCTACACATACACACACACACTCAGCTGGAGAGACAGCGTGATGGGCTATGTGTGCGGCACACACAGGCAGCATCTCCAGTGTGCGCTCAGGCTTCTGGAGACAGCAGCATAACCGACGGTGGTTTAGTAGCTAACTACCCAAAATCCTCTCCCCCAACAAGAAAAGACAATATTAGGATCACAGAGAGGTGAGTTTTTTAATTGATACTCAATCTCTACATACAATATTGCACAAATTAAAGATGTATCAACAATTCTATTCATGATAAACTTATAACAATCATATAAAACTACAAGGTGGTGCATTTTGGTGGTAGGAATTTTAGTAAATAGCGCAAATATGAAACTCAGCTACTTTGTGAAAAACAGCCTTCCACAAAAGAACTCACAGGTTACTTAAGATGACAAACACAGGTCAAGTTAAGATCACTTTTAAGAAAAACTTGGGATTCAGGTATGGTGGCTCATATCTCAGAAGGCTGAAGCAGGAGGGTCGCCAGTCAGGATGGCCTACACTATACAGCAAAATGATGACTCAAAAAACTGGTGTTAAAAAATATTAAAACTTCAGCAATTTCATTTAGGAACCAGGAAATATATGAGTATTGGGAACTAAGAAGACACCTCCATGTCTGCTCCATAGGCACTGTGCTCCAAGAGTAAATTCTTCTGCTGCAGGATCTCTGTAAGAAACTATGGTTTCAAAGCTCTGAACAAGCAAGATGGCCATTCAAACAAAAGAGCTTAAATAGGACTCTTCCATTCAGAGGAAAACAAATGCAGTCTATAAATTAAGGTCTTATCAAAATGCTGCCCAGGAATGGAAGGCAGGCACCACTCACCTCCTGAGTGTCTCATACAGTACTGGGGTCACCTGTGAGGAAGGGAGAGCTGGGTACGGTCCTAGCTCTCTAACTTACCAGGGTTAAGTGTGGTGAGCTAGCTGGCTGATTGTCACAGCTTCCAATGGAAAGGTCTAAACCAACCATCTCGAAGCATGCCCTAGGGGATGGGTCGAGACCAGGTCTGGCAGCTCCCACCTTCTGACACCATCACTCAGAAATCTGGAACTACTGAAGGGCGGGAAGAAGGCGTCCGATGATCATATTTCTAATAAAGTGTAAAAGGCCATGGCAAATGTGAGGGAAATGAGGGACCACTATGCTGTTACCCACAGCTGTCCTGCCTGGGAGATGAGAAGGGGGCGAGGAGATGACGTCTCAATCCACTCACTAGGATTTTTGGGTGCACACCTGTTACCCATTCCCTCAGCTCCCGGCAAAGCAATGGCCACGAAGTTGGTCCTAGAACAAAGAACAAAGCTACAGAGTTAAGAGCAGCGCAGGGGTTTTCTGTACAGAACAGGAGAATGACCTAAAGAAAACAATGTTTTCCCAGTTTCTGGGCTTTACAGACAACACAGATACCAGCTTTTCGGGATTAGCACAGTGCCTGCATCACTTTATTCCCCCCTGAGGTGGCCGCACATCATAAACTCTGAAACATGACAGTCACATTTCTTCAGTAAGCTCCCAGGTAGATCCCGGCTCTCCCGGAGCTTGGAGTCCTGAGGTTTCAAATGTTAAAGCTTTCACCACAGCCACAAGTTCCTTTGATGTTGGGGTTATTGAAAACAAACTCACTGGATAGTTTGTCTTCCACATAGTCCATTTCTGTTCCTAAAAGTGTTAACTGTGCTTTCTTTTCGATGAACACTCTGACTCCTTGGGAAAAAGAAACACATGTCACATAAAGCCTGTGGTATGCAGAACCTGCAGTGAATTTCCAGTCTGTGCCACCAGCACCCACAGCTTCTGGGCAAGTCCAGGGCTCCCTTAGAGGAAGCACACCACTTCCCACCAGTCCAGCCCGTGCCTAACCCCAACCAATTATAACAAGGAAGACTTTACATATGGAAATTCCACGGCATTTCTGCAAAACTGGTTTGCCTTTCACTCATCCCTCACCCCAATCTTTTATGGGAAAACGTGCAATTCTGTGAGCTTTTAATGACGGCATTCACGAGATTCTGGGAACATCTGTCCTGACCCTGTCAGCTACAAGCGCCCACAGTACTGTTCCATGGTACATTCTAACCAGACCATATAAACCAAGACCACACAATGAGACATGGAATTCAGAGAATGCCCATGGGACCCAGAGCTGTAATCTGCTGCTAGCCTTATAAATGAGTACCATTCCCTAGTCACTGGGAAGGAGAGACCAACCTCTCGAAAATGCAAAACGTGCTTTTCCTCAAAAGACATCACTTGAACATGAACATACTCTATAGGCCTTTCCTTTGTAGGGGGCAACTGCAGCTTATACTTCTGAATTGATGTTATTTTTTAAGATTTTTCATGTGCATGGTGTTTTCCCTGTAGATACGTGTGCAATGCCTGTGGCAGCCAGAAGATGGTGTTGAAACAAAAGTTACAGATGGCTGTGAGCCACCATGTGGGTGCTGGGAACTGAGCCCAGGTCCTCTGGAAGAGTTGAAAGTACTTAACCTCTAAACATCTCTCCAGCTCCATTTTTTTTATAACTTAAGAAGGCTTTTATCGGTTAATTATTTCAGCTAAATATGATGGAAGCTGGGAATACAACTTCCTGCTTGTCTCACGCCAGAATGGCTCCAATATACTAACAATATCTAGTGGTGGTTATTACCTTACGTAGGATCTTATTAGCCCAGGCTGGCCTGACCTGATCTTGAACCCAACACTTAAGATTCCAATCCCAGTATTAAGCCTGAGCCAGTGTACCTCAGTCTTTGGTAGATTTTGCAAGATGACAGGGGCTGGTATCAAATGCAGGAGCTGGGTCTGGAGAGCTTGTACTGCTCTTGCAGAGGACCCCGCCTGGTTCCCAGAAGCCATCTTAGGCAGCTTACAACTGCCTGTCCTTCCTGCTACAGAGGACCCAACCCCTCTGTCTCCACAGAACTAAGAATGTGCACTAATACACCCACATAAAACTGGTTCAGCAGAAATGGCTGGATGGTTCAACTGATGGTCTTAAAATCTGTGTGTGGTGAGTAGATGCCTGACTACCCAGAACCCACGGACTCAGGAGAGAACCAACTCTCAAAAGCTGTACTCTGACTTCACACACTAATACAGCTTTTAAAACCTGCGAGGATGAGCTTGATCCTCAGCCACTGTCTAATTCCAGCACCAGGATGTGTGGGAAGGAAGAATCATAGTGAAGCTCTGGCCTCAAAACAAACCAAACCAGGACCAGGAAAAACAAGCCAACAAGCCTAAACTGTTGGCTGTGATGACCATTTAGAGCTGAGACAAAACGTAACTCCCCGAACCCTTAGAATGGATTGGGTTCAAAGCTTCACTAGGTCCTTTGACTGTGAGCCCCTGGGCTTCCCAGCTACTGAGTCTCTCCTTGCACCAGGTTCTCCAACAGAAGCCAGGGAACTGTCGCCTCTCTCCATTCAGTGGAGCACATGGCAAAGCCTGTCTGCCAGTGCTGGGGTAACAAGCACCACTCAGAGGATCCCTAACCCAGCAGTCTTACATCAGTTTCCACAAGTTTTCATCAGGAAAAAGTGACCACAAAATGTTAACAACGACAAAACCTGTCCATTGCTCACCAGAGCCAAGTGTGGGTGCTTACTCATACCCCAACCCCACCACTGGGGGGCAGAGCAGGAATTAATGTCATCCCTACATCCAGCTACATAAGAGTTCAGGGCTAGCCTGGGCTACAAAAGGATCTGTCTCAAAAAGACAAGGGAGCTTACCATCTTGAATAACTTCTTCATCAGAATCTCCTTTTGTCTTTGAATACTCCAGGGTGTAAGAGAGGCCATTACAGCCCCTGGTTCGCACGCCAACTTTCAGACCCACCTGAAAAGAATTGAGAAGATAAACTGTGATGACCTACACCTTGAATCCCAGCACCGACATGAAATTCTCCTCTGTATGCTGTGAATAAGTTTTATTACCATTGGTTAATAAAGAAGCTGCTTTGGGCCTATGGCAGCCCAGAATAGAGCAAGGTGGGAACTCCAAGCAGAGAAAGGAGAAAATAAGGCGGAGTCAGGGAGACACTATGTAGCCATTGAAGGAGACCGACACTGGACGGAACCTTACTGGTAGGCCACAGCTCCATGGCAATACACAGATTAATAGAAATGGGTTAATTTAAGATATAAGAGTTAGCCAGAAACATGTCTAAGTCATTGGCCAAGCACTGTTGTAATTAATATAGTTCTGTGTGATTATTTTGGGTCTGGGCGGCCAGGAAATGAACAGGGAGCCTCCGCCCACACAGTACCTGCTTGGGAGGTTGAAGTACAAGGACTGTGATATAGCAGTATATTATTTGTGTTTTAATAAATAAAGCTTGCCTGAAGATCAGAGAGCAAAGCAGTCATACTAGACAGCCATAAAGGACTGGGACACCTTTAATCCCAGAAGTGGGAAGGCAGAGGGGTCTGTTAGTTCAAGGTCACCCTGGGCTATAAGATTGAATCTAAAAGAGAAACGGAGCTCACACAAAGGTGATTCCAGCACTAGGGAGGTGGAGACAGGAGTGATATGGCTGGGATGTAAGGGGAAGAGAGGAACTCAGTGGAGAGTGGAGTGTGTGGTGCAAAGTTTCAGGATTCATGGAGACAGGATCTTGCCCATTTTTGGTCTGAAGTAGAGGTAAGAGCCAGTGGCTGGTTGCTTTGCTTTTCTGATCTTCAGGATGAACCCCAACATCTGTCGCTGGGTTTCTATTATTCATGCTACACTGGCAGGCTGGAGCCAGCCCAGGTAAGGTGCACATGGTCTTGTGACAGTCAGTGCGGGTTCCACTAGTAAAGGGCACAAGAGCCTGCAGCAGATTCCTAGAGTCCAGATGAAAAGGCCCGGCACAGTGACACATGTCTGTACCCACTCTGGGGAGGGGCGCAGATGGGCCACTTCTGCACCTTGCTGACCAGTCTAGTCCACCTCCTCAAGTCCAGACCTGTGAGAAACTGTGTCTCCAGTCAGGATGGGTGACCCCTGAGGTTGACCTCGGCCTCAGACACATGCACACAAACACGAAGGTACTAATAGAAATGCATGCTTACATACAGGATAGCAAGCAAATTAAAAGACAGAAAGCAACCTTTGATATTACCACTATTCATTTTCTCGTAAACTCAGTGGTAAGCAACAGGTTCCTTGTTATAAGATGCCCCTATAGGAAGAACAAATGTCACGGAACAAGCACTTAGGACAACACAGAAAAAGTGCACAGGAAGGACTGCACAAGCCCCGCAGTGCAGGAAGGTGGCTTTTCTGTCTCTCCAGTCCTGGCTGTGTCTGCAGTTTTACTCTATCTAGGCCTTTGCACAGTGACAGTGTTTGCTTTCTTAACTATAGTTTGGAAGTAATGGGAGCACAGTGCTCTCTCCTTAGCCATCAATATTCCTTTTTTTGAAGTACAGGAGGGCCACAAACCCACCTGTTTCATCTTTCAAAGTGCTGGGATTGCAAGGGCACTGCCATAACTGGCTTTTCCTTTACTTCTTAAACACAGGGTCCACAAATGGCGCCAACCTGCTGTGTAGCCAGCTTCTACCTCCAAAGGCTGAGGCGATGAGCTCAGGCACCACCACATCTGGCTTTGTCTTTTCTCCTTTTGGTTTTTTGAGACAGGGTTTCTCTTTGTAGCCCTGGCTGTCCTGGAACTCGATCTGTAGACCAGGCTGGCCTAGAAATCAGAGACTCACCTGCCTCTACCTCTAAAATGCTGGGTCACCTTTTTTTTTTTTTTTTTTTTTTTTTTTAAAGGGCATTTGATGGTAGATTGCCTTTAAAACCTGGGATTCCTTTAAGAGGTTTTGCTCCACTTTGTTTGTTCTGTGAGGTACTTTCTGGAGGCTTCCATGGTTAGTGAGCACTGAGGTTCGTCTTCTCACCTGGTTCCAGTTCAGGAGCTTCCTTTCTAAGGCAATCTGGACCCAAAAGACCAGGAAGCCAAAGATCATAGGAGTTTAAAATGTGTGTGTAGTGGGGGAGGGGGGTGAGAGGGGATAGAAGGGCGGCAGGAGCTGATGCAGAGGCTGTACAGGGTGCTGCTTACTGTCTTGCTTTGGTCCTTACTTTCTTATAGTACTTATGACAACCAGGCTGGGGATACAACCACCAAAATTGGCTACCCTGCCCCTCAACTAATCACCAATGAAGAAAATGCCTCACTGGCCTGCCTATAGCCAGATCTTATGGAGGCATTTTCTCAACTGAGGCTCCCTCCACTCAGATGACTCCAGCTTGAGTCAAGTTGATGTGGAACTAGCCAACACAGCGCATGACTGGTTTTCTAACATTATCTACTACACTCGCAGTCTTGGCCCCTGCCCTTTAAGTGAACAATCAAGCCCTACTACCCTCAGTCCTGTCCCACCAGGGCACTGCAATCCTGAGAAACCCTGTCAGGTGTGCTTGCTTCATGAGCTTGATTGCAAAGCTTAGACTGAGGGGATTCCATTACTCTGAATGCATGAATTTCTGGGGTGCAGGTTTAGTTTGTCTCTGTGATCAGGAAGTCCTTAAGAGAACAGGAGCCCACACATTAGAGTGTGCAGATAGGGCGCGGGGTGCAGCTCCGCATCAGGTTTGCCTAGCATGTCTGAAGTCCTGAAACTCCCAGAAACACAAAAAGCAAAAGCAAACAGAAACCCTCTCCAGTCTCTGAAATCCAGTTTTCAGCAGGCATGGCAGCTCACACCTGCAACCCCCAGCACTCACAAGGAAGAGAGGGTGGATTACCCATGAATTCAAAAGTAGCCTAGTTTCCATAGGGATTGTTAATGCTGTAAATTACACTTATACACCAATGAGAACAAATATCTTACAATCCTACAAGGCTAATTTTAGTTTTTGGTCAATTTATGTGCTAGAAAGTTCAGAGTCAGAACACTGACACCTGGCAGCATTTAACAGCCTTTAGGATGGAGTATAAAAAGTCTGGTCATGAAGTATAAGAGAATCCGGAAAACAGTACCAGGACCACCATCCACAGGCCACAGCCAGAAGCGACTGCATGCAGGGATGACCCCGTGGGCATGGTAACCCAGGCTTCCAGGTCTGACACTGGGCCTGACTCACTTCACCGACAGCTGGTAAACTATGTCTGCGGCTGACAGCAAAACCTAGATAGCTTTCACACAGAGGATCAGTTGAACACATCAAACCTGCTCAGGGGAATACATGCAGTCATGAAAGAGGGAGGGGACCTTTACCAAATGATCCGGAGACTGAATTATTAGGTAAAACCAAGTGTAACCAAGCACGTGCTGCATGCTGTCATCTACGGAAGAAGCGAGAGAGATAGACCATGCAGGCCAGTGGTTCCCGAGGAGAACTCCAGAACATCCTCCAGCCACCTTAAGGCATGCAGTAGAGGCAGGGGAATGCCCAGCTAGTGAGCACACAGCCGACCTCAGGCTGCATCTGGCTTAAGAGTGACAACGTGGAATCTTAGATGTCTAGAGCTTTGAGCAGTGAGAAGCTGCTTTCTATGGAAAAACTCCCTGCGTGATTTAAGAATTTGGGTGCAGCTCCCTGTACTTGCCTGGCATGAGTGAGGCCAGGAAGTTGACACCTTAGCAATGTAAAAACTAACAAAAAATGATTTAATTAATGAAAGTATACTATTTGCAACAAAATACATTTGACCTGAGACTACAACTTTTAGTTCTGCTAACCCTTCTGTAAGCTTACATGTTACTTACATGCTCTGGCTTGTCTTTAAGAAGTTGTTTTATCTTGTTCACAGCTGAGGGGGTCTGGAATAAAGAAACAGCTGTTAGGCTCATCCTCTGACGCACAGATGGGCAGATGCCCCCTCCAGAGGCTGGTGTAGTGCATGCCTGCAAGTCTTCCCAGAGAACCAGGTGGGTTCCATCCCATAAAGGCACCACCGCGAAAACACACTCCCGCCCTGACAGAAGCCCACCTTTTCTTGTGAGACCATATTCTGTGTGCATCTACTGAATGGCCTGTAACAAGGACAGTGCCAGGCACAAATGCTCATGAATAGCCCATCAGCGGAAAAGTCAACTTTTGGGTGTTCCCCTGTTGGTTCAATCCCTTCAAACCCATCTGAATGCACGGCTGGAGAGTTGCTCCTGGGCACAGATTTGCACTGTGGGTAACACATACCTGGACAACTAGGTGAGCAGCCATGCCCCTCAGTGACAGCTGAGGATGCAATTCAACCTAGCCTAGTGTCTTCAGCAGGAGAAGTGTCCCTATGTAGGTGTTCTCAGGCCGGTGTCACCAGTCCCACCGTCCTGTAGAGGGCGCTGGGAACCTATTCTGATCTGCACTGCTCCTGGACTGCTTCCTGGCTATGTCCCAAAGGCAGACACTTTAAACAGTTTTTCCTAACGTTTAGGAGGGATAATGCCCTTTCCTAGGATTCCTGTGAAGACTAATACTGAATACAGGGAGGGCGGCCTGGAGAGGGTGGGGCACAGGGTGGGGAACCATGTTCTCCATACTTGTGTTTATTGCTGAGACGACAGATCACAGGCCTGGCCCGAGACCAGATCTGACTTAGAGGCCTGGACAGATGATGAAGTACAAACACAGTGTGGAACCAAATCCAGAGTCACAGAAACAATGCAGAAAGTACAGAACCAACAATGAAGGAAGAAGCTGTGCACTGCAGGCCGGGAAGGCGGCTCAGCTGGTAAAGAGCTTGCTTTGCAGCCACGAGGACGCGAGTTCAATCTCCATAAAACAAAACAACAAGTAGGGATAAGGAGGGGAGTGGGCAGGCAGCCATGTCCACTTGGGAAGTTTCCCGTCAGTGGGAGACCCTTTCTCAAGACTAAGAAAGGTGGAAAGCTCCTGAGGAATGGAGAATACTGGAGATGCCCTTCAGCCTCCACACATGCGCATACATGAAACATGTACCAGCACCCCGCACATACGAAAAGAAAGCAACACGGCATGCTTAAAACAAAAAGATGCTGTTTAGGGAACTATTGTAAGTCAGTGTGGGCTGTAAAGTCCTGACTCTCAGTTAAGTGCAGACAGACTGAACTGGCACACAGACACAATGTGAAGGGTAGAAGAAAGGAATGCCAACCTCAGGGAGTTAACAAAAACACTCATTAAAATCAACCACAAGCGGGGAGTGGTCCATCCTTTAATCCCAGCACTTAAGAGGCAGAGACAGGTGGATCCCTAAGTTAAAAGCCAGCCTGACCTACAAAAATGAGTTCCAGGACAGCCAGGACCACATCTGTCTCAAAAACAAACAGCCAGGCGGTGGTGGTTCACAAGCCTCAGGAGGCAGAGGCTGGTGGATGTCTGAGTTCAAGGCCAGCCTGGTCTACAAGAGCTAGTTCCAGGACAGGCTCCAAAGTTACAGAGAAAGCCATCTCAAAAAAACAAAACAAGAAAACGAACACACACTCCTAACTGTAATGCCCAGCAGACTGAGCTATAAGACTTTGAACTTCTGTCTGGTTATTTGGCAGCTTCTAATTACCACAAAGCAAGCTAATTACAGGTGATTTTATTACATCTTGCCATTACTTGTATTTCTCATAAAGTAAGGCTACACGAATAAGACATTTAGAGAGAAAGCCAAATAAAAGCTACTAAAATAATAAGGAGCATAAGGCAACAAGAGAAACTGATAGGCAAGCCCATGCTTCTAAATCCCTGAGATTTGAGTATTGGTGAAACGAAGCTCCATGAACTTCAATGGAGCAAGAGGAAGGAGAGACCTTGCCTTTGCTCCATAACTGTCAGGCTGCTTTTCTCAGGAAAAGCCACTGTGCACAAGGGACCAACTCAGGGTACTGCTATCCAGTGACAGCGTATGTCAGAATACACCAATATTCGCTGTTTCACATTTGAAGTGGTTGCTCTACAATATGGCCCCAGAAAAGAATTTTTATTTTTTCTATTTTTCTAATATTTATTTATTTATTATGTATACAATATTCTGTCTGTGTGTGTGTCTGCAGACCAGAAGAGGGCACCAGACCTATTTAAAGATGGTTGTGAGCCACCATGTGGTAGATGGGAATTGAACTCAGGACCTTTGGAAGAGCAGGCAATGCTCTTAACCACTGAGCCATCTCTCCAGCCCCCAGAAAAGAATTTTTAAATGTGAACTTATTTGGGAATTAAATAGTTACGCAGATTTTAAAGATGCTAATACATTTTTAAATTATCTAAACTTAATTTCAGAAAGAAAACCATTTTAGTAAAAGTAAAAGGTTTATCAAAGATAAATAGAACTTTAAAAATATGCTTATTTATTACACTTCCAGGCAGCTGCCCACAGCCCTTACTTCCCAGTCTTCCAGCCGTACACTTTCACAGGCACATTTTCTATGAAAGTGCTGAGGGGACAAACCTAGTCTTTGTCAACACAACAGGACTTAGAGGACTCACTAGCTGTCCTTGCAGAGGACCTGACTTTGATTCCCAGCAACCACACGGGGGACCAGCACCATGTAACTTCAGTTTCAGGGAATCCATTGCCCTCTTCTGACCCCTGGGGACACCAGGTACTCATGGCACATATACATATATACACATATACATACAAACACAGACATTAAACAAAAAGCTTAGGAAATGCATGGCCTAGAAAGAAGCATTTGTTGGAGCAAGAACGTGAAGGAGAGCCTGAATTTCAAGCGCACAGGCCAAGGTGACAAGAAAGCCTATACTATACTGCGTGATGTGAGCATGCACATTCTTTTTGATTAACTGGACCTGAGTTTTATTCCCATAAAGATTTCTAAGTTACCTAGATTGGTTTTATAAATTAGTAGGTTTTCCTCTCTTCTCACGTCTTAGAAAACATTTAAACAGTAGCTGCTTATACTCCTGGCTAATGGGAAGCTGAGGCAGGAGGATCATGAATTTGAGATCAGCTTGATCCACACTGCTAGGTTTTCCTCAAAACAAGTTCAACATAGCAAGTAAAAGCAAGGCATGTAGAACCACACGGGCATTGGGCTGCTAACACGCAAGGGAGAAAAGACATTAAAAGGACCCAAATGTTTTTGAGCCGCTATCAAAGGACCAAAACAGATCCTAACTTTGCTGTCCCTCCTTGGGGAGCTATTACTAAGGAGTTCTCAGCTAAGAGGGACGGACAGCTGAAACTGGCAAGTGACTATCCTGACTTTGCCTTGTTTTGGAGACAGACACTCAACTATGTATTCCAGGCTGGTCTTAACACTCGACCCTCACGCCCCTGCCTGAGTGGGGCGAACAGCCATTGTTCAGCTGAAGGAACTATTCTGGTCAGTTAAAAGAACTGAATGGGGCTGACTGTTGCTGGGGTGGAGCTGCCCCTTTCTGTTCTAGATATAGCACTGTATTTGGCCCTAGATAGAAGGTAAGTGACTCCCTTGACTCTCGTCCTGGCAATGATGAGGTCTCTCCTGAAGCCCACTGCAAAACTGGCAGTTCCCTACTGAGTCTGCACCCCCTAGACCAGCTCAACCTGACCTCCCCAAGAAATTCCCCAACAAGTAAGGACTCAGAATTCAGATTACTGAAATACCCTAAAATCTAGCAATGTCTCTGGTCAGCTCCCGTGTACACCATAGGAACATGGTTACTTACAGGGACAACATCTTGAAGATGTTTACCAGGTAAAAGAGCGTGCCTCCACATTGAGGACCACACGATGGGAGACTAGAAATGTCTGTCTGACCACACAATCCCCAAGGCGCACCTGCCCACATACACCTTAAATAAGTCTAACTTTAAAATATTCAAAACCACAAACCAAAAATTGTTTCAAGGCCGCCTTTGCCGTCAGAATGCTGGGAAATCCATCCAAGTGCCGTCTCAGCTCAGCTCCACAGGAGGGAGCCCAGACCATCCTGCTCCCAGCCCAGCACTGGGAGTACAAGCGCACACCACCCCCAACCCTAGCTGTTTCTATCAGGAACTGGAGAGGAAACTCTGGCCCTCATGCTTCAGAGCTGTCTGCCAGCTGACCCGCCTCCCCCACCCCGGGGTTTGTTACCCATCATGCATTTAGTCTTACAGTTCTGTAGTTTAGGTATAAATATTTGCAGGGGCTGCTAAATTAATGATGCGAGAATTAACGACTGAAAATTTTCAAAAAAATCACTTTGCATGGAGTATATAATCCTTTGGTAAAAGGCTCTCTTCCTTCTCTGACCCTAGCAGCTGCTCTGCCGCTGGACGCTGTAGTTCTCCTGGTAAGCTTCTGACAGCATGCACGCGCCAGCTGCTGTCCCAAAGGTCTCTGGGTCCTACTCCAGAGAAGTAACAGGTCCATACATGTGTCCCTCAGGCCCTCAGTCAGGCAGCACCTGGGAGCTAACGGTGAACGAGCTTCTCTGCACACACTGATCCGGCCCCATCATTTACTCGCAAGTTGAGCGTTGGGCGGCACGAGGCTCTGGTCATAAGAGAGCTGCACTAGCTCTGTCTTGTGCACCGACGGAGATCGGGCTGCCTGTCAGCCAGCACGTGTTTAAGTCACAGCTCACTCTGGTCCCTACAAACTCAAGTCTACTTAGTAACCCCTGGAAATACGGGGTGGAAGGAGCCCATGCTCCCTGGATGTCCTCTGCAAGCACCCAAGGGTCCTTGCACTAACCGGCGAGCTGGAGCTCGTTTGTAGATAGTAGCCGTCACCAGCCTCACCCCACCCCATGCCAGCCCATCAATTCCCTCCGTGGTTAACAACTGCAAGAGCTAAGTGGTGCCCACATTTCCATGTTACACCTGCCCTCGCCGAGGCGAGCCTCGAGTGGACTCTGGAGCACTCCTCCCCTGTCGGAGGACGCGGCCGGCAGAACCTAACGCTATCCTATCAGTTTACTTTGGTTTGCTAGTGTCGCCCTCCCGAGCTTTCCGCCTGTGTTCATCACGCGGCTTTTGCATGTTACATGCTAGGGTTCAAATGTTTACCAAGCACATGAAACACAGGTGCAGCCTGCACACCAGCCAACAGGCGGTGGGGCTGCTCCTCAGCCGCTCCGCCGAGGAAGGACGGGATGACTGCCTACAGCTGAGACAGGGAACGCGGAGAGGCTGTCAACTGCGATCTGCTGTGACCAATCATAGGGAGCGGAGCACAAACGGACAGAGCCAGGATCTGTGCAAACGAGGCGACATTTCGGGTAAGACTGGGCTACGCAGGGCGGGACCCAGGCAGCTCACTTATTTGTCACAAAACAGCAAGGCTTGATAATGTGTGCTGAAAAGGTAGGCATGGGGAAGAAAGAGGGCACCTCGAAAATTCCCAGGTAACAGGTAACATTGCCAAGGGAAAAGCCTGCCTGGGCACTGACTTTTTGGAGGATTCTGCTCTGAGTGAGAGGAGACACAGCCGGATTCCATGGTGTAACCTTGCGGAAACAGAAACGAGCCGACTCTAGGAAAAGCAACAGAGCGCAGTGTAACTGAGACTAACTGGGGGGCCGACACTGACCGAGCACAGAAAGACTCCCCACTTGGTCCCGGGTCCCTTCTATTTTACTTCACTTATTTGTTAGGACCCTGGACGGAGCAGATTCCCCGCCTCACGCGGGGAGGACGCTAAGCCCGCCTCCCGGCTGCCTCTGCTGGCCCGCCAGCCTCCGCGGCGCCTTCCCCGCGTGACCTTCCTCCTGGACGCCGTGACCTCCGCGGTTGCCGCCCGGGTCAGCGCGCCGCCCGCCGGGCTGGAGCGAGCACTGGTCTGCGGGCCAGGCCCGCCCGGCGCCCCGGGCCGCCGCCGCGTCCCGCCGCCGCGACTCACCAGCGTGAGCGCCGCCCGCGTGGGCTGCAGCTTCCTCTTGCTCACGGCCCGCACGGTGGCGCGGACCAACGACGCCGACATGGTCACGGCGCGGCGCCCGCAGCCTCGGGCCGGAGCGTGACCCCTCAGCCTCGCTCCATGGACACGGCTGGCTCTTTGACGCCACAAGCTCCTGCGCAGGCGCCGCAGGCCCCGCCCCGCGCCGCCATTGGACAGCCGGGTGAGTGACGGGCTGTTCCGCACGCCGTCAGCGCTGACGCGGCGCGGGCGGTGACCCGTGACCTAGCGGGCTTCGCGGTCTCCGTGCTGCCGGAAGTGGAACGGCTTCTTCCGCGGGGCGCCCGCTGACGGGAGGCGGCGGAACCCAAGACGGAAGCCGCTCCGACGGCAGACGAGCCAGTCGAGACGCCGTGCCACAGTTTCCGTTATTGAAAACCCGAGCACATGACCTAGCATCCTCGCGACCGACGGTCCCGGTCAGCTAGCCTGCTTTCCTGCAGGCGGTTTCCATCTGACCAGCCGCACGCACGTAAACACAGCTTCCCTCTGGGCCTGTGAGCTGAGCTCTCATCTTTTATCTCGGGGCAGCAGCTGCCCTGGGGCTGGCACTGGGAGGGCGTGGGGCGTGCTGGAGGAGTTGGCCAGCTCGCACCACCCTCCGGGTTCCTGGAAGGCTGAGTGCGGCCTCTGATCTGACTAGAGGGGCGGTTTCCTTTTCCAGGCTGGAAACCCAATGGCCCACCCTAACGGGGCTTTGCCAGTAAGGTGTTCTGCCTGGGAGCAAAGAGTGGGCACACCATGGTCGACTATTTTTAATGCCCGTAACACCGAACGACACTAATCTATCTTGAGAGGGTCTGTTCCACTTGGAATAGAAGCCACCTATCAAGCAAAAGACAAAACAGACTGAAGTTTTTAAGGACACTGAAAAAAAAATCTTTTACCATAAAGCCTGCCAGTGCTATCCACAGTGAGCAAGACTGCTAACGACTGAAGATCGAGTTTCCAGGACTCCTGCTGTAAAAGCTGGATTCTGAGTTTCTGTTGTTTACGAAAGAACACAGCGCGGGCACTGAGATCACTTGTAAAGACAGCTTTGACAGACAGGGCTGCTGCCTGTCCTGGGCACTATTCTGCCATCTGCTGGCACACACGCCTCACTATCCAACCGAATCTCTTTTAAGAATCAAAACAAAATGTAAGAAACCTTTGTAAGGATAGATGAAAACATGGCAATTGTTTCCTAACCTTAGGGATAAGTTAAAATACACACACACAAAGCTAACAAAAACCCCAAGTAGGAAATAACTGCCAGGGACAAATGCTGGTCTGCTTGCACATTCCTTTTCTGCTGTAAGGGCAGAGAGCCAACACAGAGCTGTTCCAGGAAGGTGTGGCTGTCAGGGACAGAGTGGCATGCTGTCACTTCACAGCAGGAGACAGGGACAGCAGCTGCTCCTCCTGTAGCAGGTCGCTGCGTAACAGCTCTCTAGTTTGGTGGTCACCGTTTTTGTTTACCATGATTTCCAATTTCTCAAAGACTTCATTTTGTCACGACTCTTCCATAGTTAGAATAGAAACAAAGTGCACATGCATGCATCTTCCAAGTCCTTCCAGTCGTGGGGATATCCTCAGCAAGCGCTCCCAGCCCCCAGTCTCCTGCCTCTGCAGCTCAGACCCAGCACACACAGCTACAACCCCGGAGACAAAAGGGCACCTCAGAGGCATCATGTTAAGGACATTTGTACTGTCCCAGATCCTTGATTGACTTTTCTAATGAGGCTTCTTTTATATAATATAATAAAATAATGTGGATAAAATTACAGGTTGAAAGTTCGATTTTATTTTAAAATGATAAATAAACCGAGGCATAGTTTGACTATGTACTATTTCAGAAAGGCTTGTGAAGTTAGAGAAACAGTTCAGAGAGGGCTCCAGTCAGACCCAGAAGGATGCCAATCAAACTTGTGACTGACAGACACGAGACAGCCTCTTTGATCTTCAGAGGTTTGTAATAGATCTCCACCCTAATTTCTGAGTATCAAAGAAAGTAAAAAGCACTTTTATTCTGTCAGTCATTTTCCCCTTGTAATTTTTTTTTTTAACTGGCAAACAGGATTACTTGTTTTCATGACTTCATTTTTATGAGCACAGCAGTTCTGTGCGGATTGACGTAGAGAAGGAAGCCCCGGAGGGAGATGTCCAGCAGTACTGCCATCCATTGAGGCCTGTGTCCACGTCCATAGGGCCTGCATCCTGTGTTAGCACTTCTTCAGAGAACCATGAAGAATGCTTGTAGACCCCAAGTAGAGCAGCACAGTCCACACCAGGACCCAGCAACAAACAGAATCCCTCTTGGGAAGGAAAGGGATATATGGGGAAAGGAGGCTAATTCCTCCTGTGAGCAGCACACACTACTTTAGTGTGCTCTGAAAGAATTAAAAACCATGACACTGTTGCCATTGAATACTGGCCCACAGTTATATTTTTTCTTTTAACTTGGCTTAAATACCTCATGGCTTTCTATTAAAAGCTTCAGATCTCTGGGGGTTGATGTTAAGACTGTATTAAAATTTTTCTTTTCCTCATTTAACAATTTCATTTAAATTTTTAAAATTCCGACATTTCCCTCAACTGTTACGTTGAAGCCTGATCTGTGTTGCTATGTCCTGTGAAGTGAACCTAATTTTCCACGTGGATAGGGACATCTCAGTGCCATTTCCAGGGCTGCATTTCCTTCCCTCATGATTCTTGCTGGGTCCTCTTCACCGAGGCTTTCCCCTGAGTCATGTATTTACTGGAAAGGCTACCTAGGAGGGAAAACAAAATCTGACATAAATTAAAGAGCCTTACTTGATCGAAGTCATACAACACTTACTGTCAGCTACACAAGTGTCCCACTAGACAGGGCACTTGCCCTGGATCAGTGGTTGAGCTAGACATAAACAAGTCCACAGACAGGCATTAGACCGTGCTAGTCCCTGCTGTGAGGATGTTTAACGCAGCTTCAGGCTATATTCCCAGGCTGGTGCTGAGCTCAGGTGGAAGAAATCCATCTCTGAAAGTTCCTTACAAAAGTCCCTCTTTTCATCTGCAACCAAACATGACAAAGTTCTCTGGCCAGAAATTAGTATCTCATACCATTCCCTTTATAAGTCTAGTAATACCTTATGGATGTACAAGCAGGAAATACAATTCACTGTGCGTACAGGTGAAGGACAAGAATGAGAACTTGAGACAGCCTCCATAACTACTACTGTATAAGGAAGGCTCTATTCAGACGAATGAGAGGACACAAAGCATTTAGAAACTGGTATCCTGTCAACTACTTTTGTTTTACCTCTTTTTTTTTTTTTTTTTTTTTCCTTTTTGATGGCCTGGAACCCAAGGAGTTCCTTTGCCTCTGAGTGCTGGGATTAAAGGACTGTGCATGCCACCACTACCACCAGCGTACCTAACTCAAACACATAACTTTTGAAGGATAAAAGGAAGCTTTCAAAATTGCCACCCCGTCACTCATTTCCAAATGGATCACAGACTTAAATGCCAGTAAAAGGAAAAACAATATGTAAAGAAGAAAACACAGCTCCGTGCTTAACCCTCGCTGCCATTTTGAGCAGATTCAGAAGCACTCAGGAGATGTCGGTGTGTTTGTGAGGGAGAAACTCAACTGAAGGAAGCCCCACCATAAACACTGATGGTGCTGGAGTTTACACACATTTCTTGAAGGCGCAAGTGTGAGAATGTCTCTTAAGAAATGGCTTTTCACACTGTTCCTACAACAAGCTCAGCTCCATGGACACAACTGACTCCACTTCCCATGGCACTTTTCATGACGCTTAAGGCAACGGGGGAAGCAAACAAAATGCTGCCATTTGTGGCAATGTGAATGTCTCTAAGTCCCCCACTGATGTGTGTAATCATGAAAAATATCACACCATCAACAATGAGCTCAGTTGAGTGGCACTGCTGTAAAAATACATGTGCCTGAGGTGGTGGCGCACGCCTTTAATCCCAACACTTGGGAAGCAGTGGCAGGCGGGTCTCTTAGACCATCAGAAAACACAGATATTTATACGATTCATAACACTAGCAAAATTATAGTTATGAAGTAGCAACAAAATAATTTTATGGCAGGGGGCTCACCACATTAAAGGGTTCCAGCATTGGGAAGGTTGAGAACCAGGACTTTTAAGTAAGTCTACTGCTTCTTGTTTGCTGTCGTTCAGACTATTTGGATTTCTCAGTGTGTTTACAAACCAAGATATAAGGAATTCACACACACACACACACACACAGTAATTAATGCTTATCCAAAGATAAGAGGAAGTATCCTATCTTATTATTTGGAAGCCATTTTTAGTAAGTGCATAAAATGTAACTTTTAATCAAATTTTGTAATATTTATTTTGACCATTTATATAGTCAAAATAAAAAAAACAGGAAATTTTTATAGCTTGAAGTTTAATAAAAAGTCTTAAAATCTAATTCATAAATGCTTTTGTTGTAGTTAAGAATGGCAGGGTAGTCAACAGGGACTATTAATGAATAATATAGTCATATAAGAGGATTTCAAGACATTTGTATAAAAAATGGCCTACCACAAGCTTTTTCTCTATTTCCTATGACTTGAAGTTTTAAAAATCAGAGATATTTTAAGAGGTTGGTAGTTATCTTTCTTCCTTTATGTTTATGTATATACATATATACTTTATCATTGAACAGAATTTTAAAACCGAATGGAAACAAACCAATCAACCCTGTGTTGTCCCCCATGTATATGTTTGTATGATAAAGTTTCATGTTTATGCATGTTCATATGTGTTTGGACACGTTGTGTATGTGTGTATCCACATATGGAGACAGGTTGATATTAGGTACCTTCCTCATAGTTTTTCTCCTTCTCTACTGAGGCAGGATTAGTTAGCTCTGCAGCCTGCTCTGCCTCCTGTGTGATGGATGACAAGCAGGCTGCCACATCCTCCCAGCATTTACATGGATGCCAGGATCCACACTCACGAAGGAAACCACAGCAGAGAGACTCAGACACCTGCAAGTGACAGCTAAGTCTGGCGGCTATCACTAACTTACTTCATGGGTTATTTCATGGGCAAGGACAAACCTTAGCCATCTATAATTTTTCTTGTAGAAAGCAAAATATAATTTGTAATAAAATTTCCCCATAATAAATTAAGTTAGTAAGCTTTTCAGTAAGAGGATTTTTACCCAGAAGGTAAGTACTAACGTCTTTATAACTAAATTAATGTCAGCTGGCCATGCCACTTCTAGATCACTAACACCTGCAGTTTTCTTCCACTGTTTTACAACTTGTAAAATTATAGTCAAATGCCACTTTCAAGATATGTAGACTTGTAAGCTGAGTGCAGCCTTGGGGACAGTGTAGGAATGAGGTCAGTGACATCACCATCAGAAACCTTTTCTCTGACTCCCAGTGTTCACAACTGGGCTCCTCAGCAGCCTTAGCAGCCAGCTGTTATTCTCTTGGTCTTTGGCTGAGACCTGAGGTGTGTGTGCAGGACACCTGGCATCCCTAGCAAATGAAGGTAACCAGACCCAGGCGGTACACTGCAGAACAGGTGTTTATACCCTGTGCTCCTTCATATGCCTGGCATCAGGAACAGTGGGATTCTTCCTATGTAAAATGTTCTGAGGATGTCTGTTTATACGTGGTACATCTGTGTACGTCCAAACTCCCAGATCCACAGGGAACACATTCCACTGACCAGTGGTGTCAGTTGTCCATACCATTCTATAATGGGGAGGGGGGTCATCTGAAAGCCAGCATGGTTATAACAGAGCCCATTTCTCCTCCCCACCCAGCATCGGCTTAACTGCAGGGTGCCACCCTCTCACTTTTGTCTACTGGATTTGGAGGGGACCCAACAGAACTCTTATTTTGAAATGCTGTGTTCCATGGAGAACAATTACAAATCTTCCTGAGGACTACTGGAGCTCATGTTCTCTTAAGCTTCCTCCTGCTTATTTGCCACGTACAATGTTCTCCTTCAGGTCTAAGTGCGGTTAAGAATTGAAGAATTCTGTTTGTTTCTTTTTTTAAATTAATCTACACATCAACCTCAACTCCATGAACATAAGATTTTGTGTACAGAGACCTTGTACCACAGCTGGGCGGTCACGTAGACAGTGGACTGCTTGCTTGCCTACCATACATGTAGCTCATCCTCAGCTACACAGTAAATTTAAAGCCAGCCTTGGCTACATGAGATACTAGCTTAAAAAAAAGGGGGGGGGAGGGGGTGATCTGATATAATTTAAATGTTTCCTCTCCACACTCTTAAAAAAAAAGTACAATAACTGCAAATACTTGAGATAACACCTCTTGGTACTTAACAAAACCCAAGGCAAACATACTAACAATGGCACCATTCTCCTCCCTAACAGCATCATAGTGGAGAACAGACATTCCTAGCCCAGAGCATCCTCAGCATTCCCAGAGCGTGGTCAGTATCCTTGCCTTGACAGAAGAGGCCAGAAAGTCAAGGAAAGACAGCTCGTCCTTCTGTGGGGCAGGGACTGTCATGGTCTGATCTTAGCTAAAACATCTCACTCTACCAGTCTCTCCAAGCTAAAAAGTCAGCACTTTGTTCCTAGCATTAGGATGTCATTCCAGGGCTCCCCAGAGGATGCTTCAAACTGCAGCCAATCCGAGCTTGTTCTTATCTTACCCTCGCTGTGACAGTCTAATGCATAACAGACACTGCCGAAGCAAAAGTTACATAAGCTGTCATCTTGAAAAATTTCGACTCAGTAGTTAAGAGCATTTGTTGCTCCAGCAGGAGCCAGGTTTGATTCCCAGCACTCACATCACAGCCTAGAACATCTCTAACTCTAGCTCCAGGGGACTCGACACCCTCTCCCGGCCTCCACAGGCACCACTCACACATGAGGCACACACAGGCAAAACACTCATATACATAAAGACCCCCCCCCCCCGTTCTTTTTTTAAAATAAAAAAGGCAAGAACTTAGAAGAGGCTGATTGTTCACGCTCTTCTCTTCCTTCTTAGGGTTCTTCCTTTAGCCTCCCTGTAAAGAGGGAGGGCCCAGGATGGGCCGACGAGGCCATCTCCTGGCCAGGACTCTGCTGTTTACATCACTTTTTATACTTTTATTACTTTCTACAATAATGCTGAAGAAGTCACTTTTCCTTGACCTCAATTTCGTCCTCTCTTTTTCATCTTGCCTTGGTAATCCACCATGTTCTTTTTAGCATCCCTCTACAGGCCTGGGGCATGGCAGGAGGGACCCTGCCCTTGATACCACAGACAAGGCTAAGCAGACTCCAATTCCTTTCCATGCAGGCCTGAACCTTATTCCAAAGAAAAAAGCTCTTTGCAGAGGCTTCAGAGAGGCCAGGTGCCAAGCCCAGGGCTGCGCTCAACCTGCACCCAAACTGCAGGCAGTGTCCACAAAGCACTGCATTTGCTGTAGTCTGAGACCCAGCTCTGGCTCCTTCCAGAATCACCTTTCTCTTGGCCTTCCTTACTCCCAGGGTCCACACACTTCCCTTTGCTCCGTGTGCTTTACTTGCTGGGAGATCTCCCTAGCACAGGGGCTTAAAATGCAATCTCCACACCGACAACACTTACACTCCTTTCTGCAGCCTGGACCAATTAAATGCCAGGCTCATATATTCAACTGGCTACTCGACACCCCTGCCCTGGAATTCCACAGCTACCACCATGAAGCAGACCTTTCCCCAGCACAACAAAGCTCTCCTTTGTTCTTCCAGTTCTCAGAGACTGCGTGACATGAGCCTCACTGGGTCTTCATATCAGTGCCCAGAATATCCACACCCAACCGCCCTCCCTGACACTCCACTCGAACCTGTGACCACCTTGGTTACTACCCCATGGCTGCAGTGCTCCTGTCCTGGCCTTTACAAGACTTCAGACAGCACTGTTCCTCTAAGGTCCAGCACCGCCCATCTCACTGAGCAAACCTTCCGGGCCCTGCTGTAACGCGGGAGTCTCAGGGCACTAGCCTTCAAGTCCTGCCGCTCTCCCATGCTCTCGGGCTGAAGAGCAGGAACCGTCTCCTCTCCACCTGACCCTCACTTCCTATGACTCGGCTGACTTGAGATGATATTGTAGCGGAGGGGGTACCACCATGCTCAGCATCATTTTGTGATTTCCCTGCTTAAAGCATCTGTTGCCTTATGGCTGTCTGTCCCTGACAGGAAGGCAGAGGAGGGGCTTTGCTTCTCACTGGGGTACATTCAGTGCTGAGGCCGCTGCCGGGTAGTTAGACTCTCAACAGATGTTTGCTGAGGGGTAAATAAGTGAAGCAGTTGTCTGGTTGCAGAGTGGAGAGCTCAAGTTATGACTTTCTTTCCTTCTGGAGTACGGCAGGTAATCTCCACAAGACATGGCAATGCCACAGCAGTCACAAGAGGCACAAGAAAAGCCTCCATGGTTGAGGGTAGCAGTTCTTCCCCAGGGGAGGGAAGTCACCTGCAATATCTGAAAACTACACAGGCCGCACTACCCACTGGGCAGTCAGACGAAGGATGTGAGGTGGAAGCAGAGCAAGAGGGTTTTTTGTTTTGTTTAAGTTTCCTTGAGAGGTTCTGATATCCCTCTGTCAGCACCACAAGGCACAGGAAGGCTCTCAAAAGGCATGTGGTAAAATATTCAGAGAAGAAAAACAACACATATCTGACCCTTTAAAAACCACATACCTGACTGGGGACTCAAAAATATGGTTGTTTTTTGTTTCTTTTTGTCTTCATGTAAAAGCACTGCCTAAAAAATGAAATAAATGGTTTACAAAAACTGAAGGTAAAAGCAACAGAAACAGCCTCAAATTGTATCCAAGAGCCGGAAGAGGCAGTAGCGGCAGAGGTTTGCACGTTAGTGGGAATGACAGACATGTATGCAGGAAGTCATCCAGCAAGCCCCTGCTACCAGGGCCCAACAAGCCTTACCACACAGTACATGGGGCACAGGAGGAGGAAGCACACAGGCCAGCCAGGAGGGCCCAGCACACAGCTTCAAGCACTCCAGAAGACTCTGGGGAGTGAGCAGGACAGAGTGAACAGGGCTCCCTTCTCAGGTTTGGGCTGGCTTTTACCTGAGCAACTGGTCTCAAAGGGCTAGGTGAAGACTGACACAAACCTACAGAAAGAAGGGAACACTTTTCGTTCCTATTTTAAATTTAAAGCCATGGCCCTATTCGCCAATGTTTTAAGGAAACTTTCCTGTTGGTGTGATGGGACTCCACCCAGCCCACTGAAGGAGTGACAAGGTGGCATTCACCGTGCTCTGCCCCCCCCCCCCCCCCCCCCCCCCCCCCCCCCCCCCCCCCCTCCCTCCCCCCCCCCCCCCCCCCCCCCCCCCCCCCCCCCCCCCCGCGTCCCTCTGCTCTCGTGCTGACGTGGACATTAGCTGTAAAGACTACATGGGTCGGTTTCTAGACCAGGGCTTTTCCTTATGGCTGCTAATCCCTCTGCTAGCCAGGTGCCCTGTTGGGCTGCCAGAAATGCCACTCTTACACTTGTGTGTGTGTGCACGTGCGCGTGTATGTGCACATGCAAATGTATGGGTGTGTGAGCCTGTATCTGAGTTCATTCAAGAGCAGTTCATTCTGGTTTTGGGGCAGGGTCTCTCACTGGAACCTTAGTTGGGCTATGCTAGCTGGTTAGTGAGCCCAAAGATCTACCTGTCTCTGCATCCCCAGCACAGGACTACAGCATCCACTGCAATGCCCTGCTTTCATGGCCACACTGGGAACAGAACGCAGGTCTTGAGCAAGCATTTTCCTAACTGTGCATTTCCTCGGCCTCACCCTAACAGTTCTGAGACACCGGTGGGTCAGTAACTTACAGCCTGCTGCTGGGCGAAGGAGCACAGCTGAGGGGTGGTATAAGGTGACCACGCTGGAGGAGGGGAAAAGGGGACCACAAAGGTCTGCTTCATTTTGTTTGTAAACACAACCTTGAGTCTTCATCAAATACAGAGCAGAAGAGTAATTTTGAGAAAACTATGTTAAATTGTGTCTATATTGTCTAGCTCCAACTAGGATGAAGAAGGCTATTGTCAGACCTAAATGAGATCATCTTTAACTATACTTAACTTTGAAATGGTGCCTGATTGACTTTTAGCATGTTGACTGAATGTTAACATGTCATTATTTTAATTCCTTTAAGTCTCATCTCCTTCTTATAAAGGGAAACCAAGGCAGATGTTGGGGTTTAGTTCTGACCTTCTTAGAAGAACAAGGCTAACTCAGGCCATGGAAGTCAGCCAAAGCTGGACCATTCACAGTCAAGCATCAGTTAGAAGACGATGTTAAAACTCTTTCTATCTAATAAGGATGAGTGGGCACGACAGCACAATCACGTAATCCCAGGACTCAGGAGGCGGTGAAGCCAGCTGGAACTACATAGCAAATTATAGGCTGGCTTTGACTACAATAGTTGAGTCTCTGTCTCAAAAACCCAAAGGGGGAACAAAAAACACCTAAAGTTTCAGTCTTAAACACCAAGAGACTCTGCCTGGAAGACCTGCTATCTAAAATGGAAGCATGCATCGGCGCTGCCAGCACCCAGGGTGTTTGAGGGAAGGATTTACAGAGCTGCCTCAGCAAATGGGCAGTCACAGTTGCTCTCTAGGGCTCCTGTCTACACTTATCCAGCTTCACCCACACTTATTCTAAGAACCAGTACAGTCTATAAGTTGTTCTGAAGACCATAACTTACACAGATTAAAGGTGTCCGGACTATTAAAAAGGTGTTGATGATGGACACAACCTACTCAGTAAAAATGACCAACTCACACCCAGCTGTAACATAAAGGTCAGTATTAGGGGGTGGTTTGATTGTGTGCTCACGACAGGTCACACTATGCTGCCTAGGCTGGTGTCACTCCCCTGCTTCAGCCTCCTATGTAACTCTGACCACAGACATGGAGAAGATCTGCACATGACTCTGAATTGTGGGCTATCAAGACATTTTCCTCTTCATCTCAGAGTCACTATGGCCATTGACAGAAAGGTGTTCAAATAAGGGCTAAAGACGAAACCCTCCACAGTTCTCTGCAGCACTGCCGACATCCTTCTGTTCTTGGCTCATCTGCACCTCCGCTACCGCCTCCTGGGTGTCTCGGCAATGCTTTGAGTCACAAGCACACACGGGGAGCAGCCTCTCACTGTAACTTGTTTACTGGCTACAGAGACGATGTGTATGAGGATTGGAGATGAGCAAACTGCCATTTCATTGGTAATCTTAGACTTTCCTAAGACTAAGTAAACCGAGGAACAAGCAGTTAAGTCACACCTAGGGACAGCATGTAAGGCATGTGTAAGGGGGGGGGTGTCATTTCCTTACAGCGCCATCTTTGCCGAGCATATATTCTTTAAGGAAACAAAAGTGTGAAAAACTCTAAGAGGTTAACATCAAGGTCTCTGGAGAGGTATCTGTACCTGGAGAGCCTTTGAACTGTGAGCATTCCTTCTTAATGTGTCCTTCTCTTCCACAAAGGAAACAACGTTTTTCTCTCAAGTCTTTGTCATCCTGTCTCTTCCATTTTTCCACTGGTGTCCTGAGAATCTTCTCCCGCCCCAGGTCCCCAACTGGCCTCGCTGGCTTCGCTTTCACAGCTGCGCACTGTGTGGGCTTATCTTCTTTTGCCGACACTTCCTTTTCTGTGTACTTGTTCTGAATTTCTTTGTCCTCTTTGCTCCGTTTTTCTTTGCTCTCAGAGTATCTTTGGTTCGGGGTATCTTCCTGGTCTCGCCGCCGCCTCACTCTATAAAAGATAAGATACTATAGGAAAAGTGTCTACAGAAACTGACCAAGTTACATCCACATGTAGAGACAGCCAGGACCAGAGTGTGAACAGGAAACCTTGAATTTGACAAGTGTGGCTTCTCTATTATGATTTCTACAGTTCTTCAGCATCCAAACTCACAGCTGCCCAGGTCCTTACAGAACATGGTGTACTATAAGCACAACCCACATCCCCCTCTGACAGTTACACCGTACTGTGGAGTGAACAACCAGAAACCCAAATCTGTATATGTTCAACCCAGGTGCACTAGACTCCATACAGCCTGTTTGCAGTTGGCTGAATTTTCAATTGCTGAGCCCTGGGCACGGAGCCTGTCTGTCACAGTGCTGGAAACCAGTGCTTACTGCTGAGACCAGGCCTTGGGCCCAGTCATGCCCGTGCTGCTGTGCTGGCGGCCTCCTGGTGAATTAGCTTTCACTAAGCAGGGACAGTTTAAACTGCAAAACCTGAATTTCACAGAAAACTTCTAATCATGATTTTAAAGAGGTTTATCTTAAAAAATGTCAGTCACTTTTATTTTAGTTTTTAGAAGTGATTTTATTTCCTGTATATGTATGTGTACCATACATATACCAGTGTCCACAGAGGCCCTGGAATTGGTGTTACAGGGGGCTATGAGCCACAAGATGCAGGTGCTAGGGATGGCACTAGGGTCCTCTGCATGAGCAGTAAGTGCTCTTAACTACTGAGTCATCATCTCTTTAGCCCCACTGACTTTATTTTTTGAGACAATGTTACATATAGCCCAGGATGACTTCATACCCTTTGTAGCTAAGGCTGGCCTTGAGATCCTGATTCTCCTGCCTCAGCCTCCCAAGTGCAGAAAGTACTGGTAAATGGCACCCAGGCATCAAGATCATTTCTTTCTGCCCTACTGATCACTAGTCGGTAAATTCCAGATTGTGACCTCCTTTGCTTAAGTGTATTCTGAAATGGGAACAGCACTGTAAGCCAAAAGAACAATGACTCAAGCAGACTGTAGAAAACACCCCTGCTTCCCACTGTACCATCACCAGGGGACAGCACAGTGCCTAAGCACTTGATCTGCTCAAGGTAATCAGTAATGATTACACTAAAAGCCACGCCCACGTGGAAGCTGAGCGACCAGCGTGGAAGGCAGAAGGCCGTCCTCACGTAAGCGGCCTCAGCATCTGCAGTCAGCCACATGGGATCACTGCATTTTCATTTTTTTATATATAAGAGCTCTGATGCCCTCTCCTGCTTTTTTTTTTAAGATTTTATTTATTATGTATACACTATTCTGTTTGCATGTGTGTCTGAAGGCCAGAAGAGGGCATCAGATCTCATTATAGATGGTTGTGAGCCACTATGTGGTTGCTGGGAATTGAACTCATGATCTCTGGAAGAGCAGACAGTGCTCTAACCTCTGAGCCATCTTTCCAGCCCCACATTTTCATTTTTTTAAAAAAAGATCTTAAATGTATATGAAAAATGCTCGATCTCAGAGGCTTATTTGATTTTCCCTGTACGGCACAAGGAGATAAGATGAGGCTGCCCCTCCGGACACGCGCTTACTTTCTCCTCATGGGGCAGTCCTTCATGAAGTGTCCGATTTTTCCACAAATTCGGCAACACCTGTCATTCGGAGCCAGTTCTCCCTCAGTTAGAACATCTGGATCAAAAAAGTATTCCTACAAGAATACAGCCGTGTAAAAGAAACTGCGAACAAGATCATGGCACACCAGAGACCCATGCAGAACAGATTGGTTTGTTAATATTGGTGCTGTTCATCCCAAACAAGACCTTACAGCCAGTGAGAGGCATAGCTGATAGACTGACCTAAACCTATTTCTTTTATTTCTTGAAGTTGGAGGACACTGACAACACATGCACACAAGTGGCTTCAACACAAAAGGAGAAGCCATGGCCACATAGAGGGCATCAGGAAACAAAATGGCTAAACGGCAATGAACTGAGGAACACAGTCAACACTGAGGCAAACTGAGAAGCTGCACGCTAGTACTGGTGCTGCTGTGTGGCTTAAGAGTCTGCTGCAGGGGTCGGGGATGCTGCACCGCACCTGCACACCACTGAAGAGAGCACCTATCTGAACAGATGCGGGCGAAGGAGTTCTTCAACAAGCGTGAGAAGGACCACTGTAGATGTCAGCAATGATACACTCAAAGCACCTCTATGCCCACATGGAAAAGTTGCATCAGTCTTCCTGAGGGTGGGGGCGGGAAGGAATGGGAAGCTGCTGTTCAAAGGGGATAACGTTCTGGATAGAGAGAAAAGGAGTATAGGCCTGGGGAGACCTGTTGCCAAGTAGGGGCTACGGTCAATAATATGTATTTCAAAATAACTGCATATATTTCGAAAGCCACACTACAAAATGACACTGGAGAAGACAGATTTGCTAAGCAGCTTGACTGAACTATCCCTTACTGCACACTTATTGTGACTAAGACGTGTGCCTTATTGGCTCTCTAGCATTTCCACAAAACTCACCATTTTTGAGGGGTAGTCCTTTGGAAATCCTTTTACCGGAATTCCAAATACTCTTCTACCATTGATAAAAGCTTTCATTATAAAATTTGTCACTATAAAGAAAAAAGTAAAAATTCAATTACATGCATTAAAAGAACAAGAGATGCCACCAAGTTTACAAACAAGAGTAACTTACTTTTCCTTGATAATCCAGCACCAAGATTATGATTCAAATCAAAAGGATCTGAGTAAGGAAAATGAAAGAGACAAAAAGATAATTAAGTAGGATATACAGCACCATCCATCCCATAGCCTAGGTCCATACAACAAGAAGAAAGCATCACCTCTTTGCTGAGTAGTAAGAGGTGTGCTCGGCTAAGCAACAGAGAAGCCCAAATAGAAGGCAAGGCCCCCAAAGCATTGATTAGAAAAGACCACTGTGTCATCTTTACCATCTTTATAAGTCCTTCATATTACACTGGTTGACCACTTCTGGAAAAAGTACTGAGAAGACTCATTAACCAGGTGACTTAATGATGTCCGTTTGTGTTCATGTTAGGAGTCACAAGCATAAATGAACAAACCAAGGGTGGGACAAGACCTGAGTAGGAGTCACAAGAACACAAACAGCAGGTGCCGTGGTGGACTGGTGCAGGGAGGCAGGTGTGACAGGCATGGCTGTGAGGAACTGCGCTATAACACAGTGCTACTGAGCACTGCTTCTACACTAAATAGTATTTTATAGAGGATTTAAAATGCTATATACACATATATACTAATATACATACACACACACACACACACACTAATGATCTGGTCATCAGATGAAGATAGATATCATTTTCTCCCTGCCTAAGACAGTAGTGAAGAAGGCAAAGGAAGCCCTCCCCAGGGACCTAAAGGAGACATATGCACAGCAGGAGGAGGAGCCAGAGAAGCGAGGCACCAGGGGGCAAGCACTAAGCTGGGGAGTGACATCAGACGTTCCTGTCAGCTGGAGCACAGAGCCCTTCCTTTGTGCTCCTCTTGCAATAAGTGCAATGAGACTATCATCCCAGTTAGACCAGTCTTGCTCTCTTCTGTTGTGTGTGTGAGTGTGTATGTATGAGTGTGTTGTACTTTGGTTGTTTGCTGTAACTCTAGTGCTTGAGAAGCTGCGGCACTGCTCTGGGGTGGTAGGTCTGTCTCTCAGTGCTGAGATTACAGATATGGGCTCCCATGCTCTCAATTCACTTAGTACGCTAGACAACAACAAAAGACATGGTAATAAGAGAAGATCCCTTCCCCACTAATTCTGCGTTGACAGAAGCATCCAAAATGCTAAATCCCCACCCACAGCCCAGGCTGAAGTGCACAGCCCTTCATCCAACACTACCCAAAGAAATGAAGGAATCATAAAGTCTCCACACCATTTAGACATCAGTGCACAGTAAGAACATGGATCCCATGAGACCAAGAAGACATTTCCTCAGCCACTTCCTAGCTCACTAAAGCATTTAACCTTCATTTTATTTTTAAAAATTAAATTCCCATCAGTTATGAACAACTAACTGTAAACATCAATGGCTCCAATGGATTCCTTGAGTCAGGTGGGGTGACCTGCGCTCCCACACGGGTCCGACATTAGTGGAAGGTTATTCTGCTGAACAAAGATTCTGAACTCATGGCCTCACTTGGAGGTACTAGGAACTTAAAAATGAACCTGTAGGGTGGTATGGGCCGCAACAGGACTGCTGCACTGCACACTATGGGCAATGGTTCAGTGACTGCCCCACAGAAGCTGTGTGCCGGAAGAGCCAGGAGGGGCCCATGGTTTAGAGTCGACGTCCAACTTGAAAGGCTCTTTACATCACCCCTCAAACTTGATAGGCCATCAGCTCATTTCTAATTTGACTTCATTCATACCTTCAATAACGATGTATTTTGAGGTCCACTGTTTCTTAAAAGTCGTCAGCAGACCTTTTCTTCTGATGCTGATTACATGCTCCTTAAAATCAAACTCCTCTGTGTAGAAGCGGAGAAGTCCCAACCACAGCTGCCCAACAGATTCTGTATTTTTTCCATATTCTGGCCAACAAGTGGGCTAGAGAGAGAAGGGAACGAGAGATACCGCTCCATTACAAAGGGCTAACAGCAGTATGTCTGCACACCAGGAGGACGGTCTGGACAAGTTAACTGGCTTACACACACAAGATGTAATAAGTTCTCATTCACATTTTTTGTTTTGTTTTGTTTTTTTGAGACAGAGTTTCTCTGTGTAGCTTGGCTGTCTTGGATCTCGCTTTGCAGACCAAGATGGCATTGAACTCACAGAGATCCACCTGCCTCTGCCTCCCAAGCACTGGGATTAAAGGTGTGCACCACCACACCTGGCTTTCATTTATGTTTTCAAACAGCATTTACACGAGTCTATTAACCGCTACTCTGACTTGGACGTAGAAACAATTCAAGAGTTTTCAACAATGTATCATCTCAGAATATGAAGGTGAGAATCTGTGGAGAAGCTTGAGAGCTGTGCAGTCAGGACAGAACTAGCGCAAATCTACAAAGTCTCAGGAAGAACAGCCATGCAACAAAAACGTGTTCCCTTGGAAGAGCCAGTGGACATTGATGAAACTCTGGTGCAGTGCCTGTAAATGCACTTAGCTTAAGAAAAGAGAACCCTCAAGAATGTCTTTACTGTCCTAACAGACAGACGTCAGCTGTACACCATGGTCATCTACAGCACAGAGCAGGACAACTTTTAGCCAAATCTTTACCTAAAATACTCACCAGTTCATCTATTTGATCAAAAAAGTAAATATTCCAGCCATCAACAAGTATTTCTGGTTTCTTTTCACCTTTGTATATCTGAAATTAATTTAAAAAGTTATTAGTATAGAATGAAAAACTAATGTGTTGATACCAACACACCTTGGAAACTTAACGACAGAACTACAGCACGCTAGCAGAGGCAGAGGCTCAGAGACAGCCCAGTTCTGCAGAGGACACAGGCCCTGAGGGTACCTCTTGGAGCACAGGGATGACAGGTGGAGACCTCTGCTGAAGAAAGTATAGCACCATAAGAGTGTAGGCATAGGAGGACAAGCTGCCTCGGGACGCGTCACCGATGTCACACATCTAGAGGGAGGAGACAGCACTGTGAATGCCATTTCTACGCAGCTCGCAGTCACCCAGCACCACTACCTCATCTGAGGAACTAATACAAAAATCACATTTTCAAAATGAAAATATGTCAACTAAAGCAACCAACCCAACCTAGATCAAACTGAACTCAAGAAAGTAGTGCACTGTTAGTCACAACAGGGTTATTATGAAAAACTAAAACACATCAATAATAGATGTGGTGGCTCATGCCTTTAATCCTAGTACTTAGGAAGCAGAGGCAGGAGGATCTCAGTGAGTTTGAGACCAGCCTGATCTGTACAGTGAGTTCCAATATAGCCCACTGTGTGTGCAAGGTGGGAGTGTCACACTTATGCTTTCAAAAGGATTTGAAAACACGGAACAATTTCCAACTAAGCCACAAGCAGCAGCACCCACCTTTGTAAACACTTTCATGGTGTAGCACAGATATTTCACTCTGGGGTCAATGGCGGAGTATGCAGATAAGAGTCTTGTGTTATGAAGAGCCTGTTGGAAAGGAAAGGGCACCATGAGGCTCGACAACATTCTGACCTACAAGGGTTCACCTGCAACACAGTTTAGATAACAACAAATACTTCTGATTTCATTAACAAATCTTTAGTCTGCATAAACTGAAAAAAAAAAGCCATTTAAATAAACAAGCATGTTAGTAGGTGTGGTTGTTGTGATTTAGAAAAAGCAGCATGTGAGAGAAAGATGCCCTGTGACAGAGTTCACGGGAGGGGTTTTTACTAGGGGAAAGGGAATGGAAAAGGAGGGAAGAGGAGGGGGAGACCGACCTCTGGAGACAGGAGTGGCAGAAGAGAAGAGCACAGAGGGGAGAGAGAGAGAGACAGAGAGAGAGACAGAGACGGCAGGTGGGTAGGTCCTCTGAAGAGATAATGCAGCTACTGTGCACAGGTGGTGCTCTTAGTGGCTACAGCTGAGGACACACACCCCAAGGTCAGGACAGTTCAGATGTCTGAATACTAACAGTGGTGACATAGGCCTGCCATCCTAGCACTCAGAAGATGGATTTCCTCTAAGCAGATGTAAGACTTTCCCTTTCCCTGTGGCATCATTTGAGTCAAATGTTTTCAGGCCCCAGTGGGTCTGGGAGCAGCAATATGTGAGGCCAACGAGAAGGGACACAGCACACAAACCAAATCACAGTCAAGTTCAAGCCAGGGAGACAAACGTGCTGCTCTGACCTCATCTGAAGTGCATCTATGTGCGCGCATGCGCGCGCACTCTCTCTATCTCCCTCGCTCTCTCTGATGCACACATACACGTGCACACATGCAAACAACTCTCACACTGAAACTGATGAGCATTTGACCAACTCCCTGACAACAGGGTAGGGATGGAAGGAGTGTAGGCAAACACCCTACTACTGAGCTCCATCCTTAGCTCCTGTGGATATGAGTAGCTACTGAATTCTCCACAGCCCACCCGCAGAATATTACAAGACACACATCAAGCACCCAAATAATTCCCAGTGACAGAGGAAAACAAGGGCAGAGAGCTGCCTTAGCTACTGGGGTTAAGGCCAAGCAGCCAAACAGATGGGGTAAGGAAGATGAAACGAATGTCTCATTTCACTGATTTACTTATTTTTAAAGAGACACTCATTCCTCTTGATCTCTCTAAAGAAAATGCCTGAAACACCAGGCGCAGTAATGTCTGTTTGTAATCTTAGTACTTGTGGGGTGGAGCCAGGAAGACTAGAAATTCAAGGTCATGGCTAGCCTCAGCATTGTGAAACCCTGTCTCAACCCCCCCACTCCCAGCCCCTGCAAAAACAAAGGCTGGATGGGAGGAAGCAAGCAAACAGGAAGCTTTAAAAAAAAAAAGTACTCAAAAGGAACCAAACTAGGAGGTTTACTACATGCCAAGTGAGAGGTCAGACTGGGGTAGGTTAGTCTTTGAGACTCTTAAGAAAATGAGAAAGCAAGCTAGGCTGGCCGAACCCTAGGAATCTTACCAGTGTGTTATACAAGCTGATGTCGACCTCTAGACCACTTCTTAGATGGAAGAATTTCACAATGGGCACCTTGGCTGTTGTGATGGGCAGGATATTCCTCAGGCCTAAGAGGGAGTAAGACACAGGATTACACACACTGGGCAGAGGCGATTCTCATGCTGGTGGCTCCATGATAAACAAAACCTGACTTGAGCTGCCCCACTGAATTCATCATAACTAATCAACAAAGTTTGCTATGAATAACTAACTGACTTCATCTATTAAACACACTGATATTTGAATCACAAGAACCAAAAAGTCCACTGTCCTTCACAAACCAACTGACCCATGAGAAGCTGCAAGTATGTGCGTCCTGGGGGGGGGGGGGCGTTTCCACAGAGGAGCTACTGGAGCTTGCATTCACGAGTCCCACTACCCTGTCCATCTGATTACTGTGTCCATGCTTGACACAGTCGTCACCACAGAGCTAGAAACGACAGCTGGAAAGGAGGAATGACTTTCAGCAGAGCTACACTTTGGAACGCTGAAGTAGGGGAGTGGAGGGCATTTACCTGTCAAGGAAAGTGGCACAGAAAGGCTTCAGGGCCCTTCCATGGCACTATGTGGACTGGAAAATGTGTTATAAGAAACAGGAGGAAACTGAGCAGAACTGTCCTTGAGGACAAAGCAGTCAACGAGCGGACGTAAGTACTGGAGAATCATGGACCACAGAGTTGAACCATGTTCCTGGAGAACAACCAGAGGCACAGGGATAGAGGCAGGGTGACCCCTCTATAGAAATGACTCTACAGAGTTATTTCTGTCCTAATGACAACCACTGAACATGGTTTGTCTTACAAAATATATACTGAGGATGCTTAGGACAGGACAGTCTACCTCAACCCAGGTGATCAGAAGACTGAGAGCAAGCAAGGGTGAGTTTACAGTCATCGTCAAAGTCCAACTCAGTCCTGAAAATTAAAAACTGGCCGGGCGATGGTGGTGCACGCCTTTAATCCCAGCACTCGGGAGGCAGAGGCAGGCAGATCTCTGTGAGTTCGAGACCAGCCTGGTCTACAGAGCTAGTTCCAGGACAGGCTCCAAAGCCACAGGGAACCCGTGTCTCGAAAAACAAAACAAAACAAAAAAAACCTGTCAAATCTAGGAACTTTGGTTTCTTTGCATAATCTGAGAATCCAAACAAAACTAATCACTAGAGATGGACTCTTACTTAAAGAAAGTATCTTCTCAATATACATAGGAAATTGTATCTTTATGTGTGTGCACACCCATGAGTGTGTCCACAAGAACAGGGGCCATGTTGCTCACCCTCATTCCTTACTATTAGAACACAAGTTTAAGAGATTAAATAAATGTTTAAAGAAAGTATTGTGTCAAGTGTGGTGGCTTGCACCTGCAATCCTAGGCAGTCAGGAGGCTGAGGCAAGAGTTTTGTTCAAGGCTATATTAGACCCTGTCTCAAAAACAAGAACTCCTCCCAAACAAACTCAACCAAAACTAACCAATTAATCAGCTAAGCACTCCACCCAGCAAACAGCCAGGCACGATGGTGCCTATCCATAATCCCAGAGTGAGTTTGAGGCTAGCCTGGGTTACATGTTTAAGACAGCTCTAATATTGGACTGCAGTGGTTGGTAGAGTGCTTGCCTCTGATAATCAAGGCCTCAGACTCTATCCCACCAACAGACAAGCGAGCAGACAAACATAGACTTTCACTATTTGGGTCCACAGCTGTCCCCAAGAGCATTTCTGGTTTGTATGTCATTACACATTCTATTGCTCTATTGGAAACTACCTACAACAGACTTCTATAGCTGTGATGAGAATCAGGCTATGTTAAGCATCTTGTTTACAGTTCAGTTTGTTGTGCAGAGGGGAAGCAGAGTCAGTTCACGAGGTCTGTATGCGCTTTACCATATGTCTACAGTTGGATTCACATGTAAGGCAAAATGACCTAAATCCCCCACCTGCCTTGAATATGTTTTGATCAAAACAAGATAATTAGCATCACCCACGCAGGCATTACTACCAGTTCTCTTCCATATTAGACTAGAGAATATTTTAATGACACTAACATTACATATATTTACAAATGAGAAGGCATACTTTCTCATTGGACGAATAAATTCTAAGTATATATAACACAAAAGAAAAAAAGGACTTTTAAAAAATTTCAAGTTACCTGAATGCTTTCTGAGGACTCTGGCCAGCTCTTCAATAGTTCGTACACAGTCTAACCCCTGCAGCAAAGGCACAAAAAAGGAAGCTAAATCAGAAAACAAGCTGGTCTGCTGGCACATACCTGTAATCTTAGCTACTTGGGAGACTGAGGTAAGACAGTCAACAACAATTATAGGGCTGTCTGGGCTGCATAGTAAATTCAAAGCCAGCCTGGGTAACTTAGTAAGACTCGGGGGAAGGAACTCAGGGCTAGAGTGCTTCTCTAGCTTGTGTGTGGTTCTAGGTCAGACCCAAAGCAAAGCAGCAAGCAGGAGGTAAGGTCCTGCACTGTGACAGTTTCTATCCCCTTCAGAGACAGGGAGGGGCATTTCCAACCATTTTCCTTCTGACTTTTATTTGTGTGCACACACGCGCCAGGACTTTACATGTGTGACTGAGAGCATGCATGTCAGAAAACAACTTTGCAAGAGTCAGCTTCCTTTTCCACTGTGGGATTCAGGCACTGAACTTGAGACAAACTTTTAAGTTGCTGAGCTGTCTCATCGATTTCAGATGGAGTGTCAATTACTACACACAAAACACCCTAAAGATATGCAAACCTCTAAACATGTCTTAATTGCTTTTGGATGTACAACAAAAACCCATCTGCACACAGTTTAACTGAGAACTGATGGCTTGCTGTGGACAGTGAGTTCAGGTCACTAGTCCCCTGTGGGACTAGTCAAGATTAAAGTCATACGGTAATCTGGATGGTATTCTGGCCAAGTCATACTTCATGTTTGTGTTGTTTTCCAGACCAAGTCCCTCTATGCAGCCCCGGCTGATCTCAGATTCAAGGCCTTCCTGTCTGTGGGATGCAAGCACATACCACTGTACCTTGTGGTCCTGTCTGTGTGAGTTCTTCTGGTTATACAGACCCTACAACATACTTAGGGCTTCAGAAATACTGTCAAAAGTAGTGTCTAAAACACATTAATGACAGTCAACATTGAGGAGACACAGCGGGCCAGTCCATATGGTAGACCTAATCTCCCTTCACACCAGCACCAAACTCCAGGCAGACCGACTTTGGGCTATTTTCCTGGAGTCAGAGACGCCCTGGAATGCAGACTCAGAACAAAGAGATGGACAGAGCTCCTGAGCAGCAGTGCAGCAGTAGTGCAGCAGCAGCTATGCCACCACTGTTCCCACAGAGTGCCTCTGTGCACGGCCCTTCTCAGACTGTGATCAGAGAGAGCGCACAAACAGGACTGGGTGTGGCAGGGTGCTAATAAAACAGTGAAAATGGGCTGTCAGAGTGGCACCAAGGCACAGGCCGTAACCCCAGGATTCAGAGACCGAGGCAGGAGGATCCAGGCTAGCCTGAACTAGACAGTAGACCCCCATCTTCAAAAGGAGGGGGGAGTCAACAACAACAAACCAGGCTCTAAGCTGGACTTCAGAATAAGGGGTATACTGTGCTGTCTCTGGACACCAATCCAAGTCACAGGGGGAACAGAAATTATTACTGCCTACCAAAATACACGTTTCGTACTGATAAGACCAACTCTGTCTCAAATCTAGGACCTGTACTATAAAGTCAGTACTCACCATGTATAAGCAAACCAACACCACAGGCAACTCTAGGAGGATGGGTGTGCTGGTCTAGTGGCTAAGCAAACGGGTACTGGTGAAGGCGGGAGGCGGTCTGGCTCCACAGCATCCAGAATGATCTGTGCTATGCGGGAAAGCCCCCTCAAAGCTATCTAGCCAATGTGCGTGCTCTGCTTTTTTTTTCCTTTTTTTTTTTGCTATACAGCCCAGGCTGACCTTGAACTTCTAGCAGTCCTCCTTCCTCAGGCTCCCAGGTGCTGGGATGACAGGTGTGCACCACCCATGCCCAGCCAGAGCTTTCTACTCTTCACATCCCCTCCAAGCGGGCCAGTGCAGTGTCAGAGGCTGTGCTGTGTGGTGCACTGCATGTGGAATGCTCCGGCACATTCCAGATGCCTCACAATTCTGCCAGTGAGGACGGCGCTAACCACATGTTCACAGCGCATGTGTGTTCACGTGGCAACCGTACCTCAGCAGTTTCATGTCCGTTAATTGTCATACAGACGTCAAGGTCACTCTGTTTGAACCCAAATCCATTTTTGGAGGAGCCAAACAAGCTCAACTTAGTTCCTGTTAGGGACAGATGACAAGTAATAGCTCATTACCTGAGTACATTTAATTGTTGTTTTAATGAATCCAAAATACCAATTGCTAACTATCCTATCTCATAGTTAAGGTCTTTAAATGTTTTTATGACATTTATTTAGTTATTTACTGTGTCTGTGTGCACATCTGGAAGGCAGAGGACAATACGTAGGAGCTGGTTTTTCCTTCCACCATGTGGGTCCTGAACTCAGGGCATCAGCTTGACATGAAGGTCATTTATCTGTTGAGCCATCTCGCCAGCCCCAATGTCTTCTTAACTACACATTTATTCTTAATGATTCCCTCAGTTTACTTAAAAACACATGCTGTATATGACATAAAAGATTAGTGGATACCACTTTATACCAAAATGCAAGGATGTTTCAAGGAAAAATGTGGACCATTTACTACGGTAAGAGCAATGCTTGCAGTGTGCCTTAAAAGACTGACTTTCCCCTCTTGTGTGTGTCTACACACTCTAGTCATACGTCCGCAGAGACCAGCGGTGCCAGATCCCCTGAAGTCGGTCTGCAAGAGCAGCATGTGCTCCTAATGGCTAAGCTAGCTCTCTAGCCCCTAGAAAGACGTGGGATTGACTGCCCTCACGTGTGCTGGGTGATCTGCACTGTTATAAACCATGTGTGGTGGACCAAAGCCCACCCTAGACACACAGACTACCTCACCTGACCCTGCCCACCACAAGGTCTTCCAGTTGCTGCTGCAGTTAATGTGCCTGTGATACACGTGATCGTTCATCAGCTTTCCTTTCCTAAACATAAAAAGATACTCACCTGGAAAGTCCTGTTTTATGAAACTTTCTAGATTTTGCCGGATATGTTCGCGAGCCTGATCGTCTACAAGAGTTGGAGAAAAATCCTCTGTTTGGAAACAAATAGACACAAATGAGCGGGGAGTGGTTTAAAAGAGTTGACACCGCTAGAAAACCTGAAAAGATAGTTTTGAAAAAAGAAAACTTACAAGCTTCAAAAACTAGATTTGATGCCTTCTCAGCAGACAGTGCTAGCAATAAAAAGCAGACGAACAACATCTGTCAAGCTAGGCCTGTGGGACACAGATGTAATGCCAAGCAGAGGGAGGGAGATAAGAGGGTCACTTCAGGGTCCACAGCAGCCAGGGCCACTCAGGGAGACCCTGCCTCAGGAAGTCTATCCCCGAGAACTGCCCTCGAGACAGAAGCTAACTGGGATGGGGCTCAAAATCTGAGCGGATAGAATCCTCTAGAATTCCAGCAGAAATGTCTGTGGGCTGATAGAATCCTCTAGAATTCCAGCAGAAATGTCTGTGGGCTGTTTTGTTTTTAACTGGGAGCCTGGTTTTCTTTTTTACTATCTGAAAAAGTTTAACAAAATGAAAATGCCATTGACAGCTGGACAATCCTGGGTATTTGGGAGGTTAAGGTGGAGGAGGATTGCATGAATCCAAGAATTCAATAACATGATGAAACCGTATCAGAGAGGGAAGGCAGGATTAACCTGGGCATGATAGCCCTGCCTATAATCCTAGTACCCTGGAGGCAAAGGCAGGAGGTCAGCGAGTTCAGTGGCAGCTTCAGTTACAGAGAGGGCCATAGGGGAAGCTCCTTAAAATGTCAATGTGGAGTACTGAGTACATCCAGTCTAAGCAGCAGCCAGCTTCTTGTGGAAATAGAAACCGAGACCCCTCGATACCAGTGCTTCCCCAAACGACTGTTCCTTAAAGAGCTTGCACGAGGGCAGTTCATTAGTGTTCAATGAAGTGTGAACCTCAAGGCTCTGGGACCGTCCCAGAGAAGGGAGAGCCTGAGGCTCCAGAACATCAGACCAAAGCAGTCGATATTCCAGCGTGGATGGGCTAAGTAGCCCTCACGCTAACTGAGGAGCTGACAGCGGTAGCTGTCTGGGAGAAGGAGAGGTAGCTTTCTTTATGGATGTGAATCCAGTGGATGGCCCCACAGGAGGAGTCTATGGGAAGCACAGACTGGATCAGTGAGAGGTGGGGAGTGGATGCAGGAGTTGGGGAGGAGCGGTCAGGGAACATGACCACAACACAGTATGGATTCTCACAGGACTACCTGCAAGGCTGACAGGGCACATCAGGGGAACACAGAAGACTTACTGTAACACTGGATGCAAACTTGGTCTAAGATATTTGAGAACTTGGGTGTCAGTGGTGGCAGAGGGTCCAGTTGGATTCTCTTGAAGTCCTCAGGACAGTCCTTCTTTAGATGGCCTTCTCGCTTACACAAGCTACACACTACTGTGGGAGACTGCGGGGATACGGAAAACCAGAGCAAGTGTGAGTGAGAATCTTTGCTAAATAAAGGGCGCTAGAAAAAAATTAGCTACACATATACCCTAATTTAAGCTACTCCACATGGCCTGAAAGATGGGACGTGGTGCTGGTGACGTCAGGAGAGATGTGAACTGTCTGTGTCCTATGCACTTCTAAAGGAGGGACATGAATCAAGTGGTGTGAAATGGATCAGAATGTGTGAAACCACAACCAGATGGGAAGCTGCCGTTCTAGTGCACAGACATGGAAACCAGGCTGACAAACAGCTCAGCTGGGAAACAGAGCCTGCAGCCAAGCCTGGTGACCCGACCTCAATTCCTAGGACCCACACAGTGAAGGAGAGAACTGCCTGCCACATGCAGGCAAACGGCGCACATGCCTCTTCCTCACAGGAGATAAAGGGGCAGGTGTAATAGAAGAACACCAGTAATGGTGTTCATTACAGTTATCCAGAATCCCCAGACCTAAGACCACCAGCGACCATTACCTTGCCTTTGGTGAAGGCCAGTTTTCTAAATTCATAGAAGAAGTCAGACTGGTCCCTGGGTGAATTTTCCTCAGGAAAGCTTTTCTCGTTAAGACTTATTCTGTTTAGGTCTATGAGTAAAGTCCCATCCATGGGTTCTCCACACGCGTCGAGATCTTTGTTCTTAGCAGGCTCAGCCAAGTCATCCTCTTCAGAGAAGACATCCTCCTCACCCGACCCAGTGTGCCTGTTGTCCTCCTGGTGTTCACTAACAACCCCCTCCTCATCCTCTGTGTGGTTCATGCTGAGCCCGGGCTCTTCATCCTCCTCCTCATCGTCGTCATCATCGAAGTGCATGACTGCTGAGGCCTGGCCCTGGACTCCCGGGGAAAAGCGGTTCAGAGACTCCTCCAGTTCATCAGCGCCGTCCGTGTGTCCTTCATTTACGTCAGCCTTGTCATCCAAGGAGGCGCAGCTGTCCCGCTCCTTGGCTCCAGGGCTCCGGAGCCCGACTAACTCCAGGGTGTTGTCTGCCTGGAGACCACACAGGCCGCCACAGTTCTGAAGTTCTGGATGCTTGCTGCAGCTTAAGCTGTGATCATCAGTGCTCCAAAGACGCCCGGTCTTCCTTCTGACTTTCTCGTTGCCACTTTCTGTTTCTTGATGCTGTGCCATGGCATCCTCACAGCCCTCGCAATGGACCTCTGTCTGGTGTATCTCCTTTGGTGGGCTTCCCAACTGCTCAGGGGTACTTTTAAGAATAAGCGGTTGTGCCTTGCAGGCTTCTGAAGTGGGCGCACCAGGACCTTGGGCCACAGCTGCTTTCCCCGGTTTATCAGTTTCTGTAGCTTGGAGCTTCGGGCCACAATTCCTTGCTCCTTTATCTGGGTCTGAAACATGGGTAACGGGACTAGGAGGCTTTGTGAGGTTGGGTTTTGTGACTCTATGTGGAAGAGCAAAATATTTGTATGTTGTCCTCAAACAATGAAGTATGTACTCAAACACGGGTTGGTTATTCAGGGTCCTCGCCACATTTCTTTTAACAGAATAGGGGTCTGTAACAGGGGGAAAAAAGAGAGGAAAAAAAGAGAGAGAAAGCCACCACTTCATACTCTTTTATTTCACCATGCTTAAAACTAGACTTTCAAAGGTAACACAGGTAACAACAGTAAAATGGATCATGCACCTTACATGCTTTAGTACATTTAAAAACAGCTTGGGTGGGAGTGAGGGCGGCAGTTTAAGAGCTGAAAGCAATGCTCCTGAGTCTCCTGCTCTCCGCTGAGAACCCCGGGAACTGGTTCCCTTCCCTAGCTGCTCAGTGACTGGAGGGAGGAAAGATATCACTACCATGGCTCTGGGGAACTCAGACTTCCCGACAGGCTTTGTGACCGAGCGCTCTGCACCCTGCTCAGCCAGCCTTGCAGTGTGTCGAGCTTACCTCCACTCTTCCGCCCTGGGAGGCCCCATCACTGAAGTGGCTGGCCTGAGTTTCAGGGGCGAGAGGGAGGCACCAGGAGGAGACACCACTTCTCTCAATCTTTTCTCCTCCCCTAGAACTCCAGCAGGTTAGGCAATTGGCCAGAAGAGCTGAGCCACAGAAACTGCAGGGGAGGGTTTAAAATGTGAGATTCCCTAAGACTGCACATAGAATTTATGCAAAAAGAAAAAAAAAAAAAAACCTTACGCAACATAAAGCTTGAAAAAAAAAAATCAAGCAAAACCAAGATTTCCGTGTAGGAGTTTTGCTGTTGCTCTTAGGTTAAAGGAGCAGAGCTAAGATTTCTAGACGGTTCCAACCTCCTGACTCTGCAAAGCTGAGAGGAGTTCATCCATTCAGTGACGCCAACAGGACATCACTGTCTGGCTGACTCTGCAAAGTGACAGCCTTCACTAGGACGTGGTCATGACGAAGCTACAGTTTTCTGCTTCAAAAATAACTCTCTGTTCCCTCCACTGGAGTCAACCAACATTAAGAACAGTGCTTTTCACGAGAAAAATATTTCACTCATCTTGGTAAACTAATCCTCAAAAGGAATTCCTGAGATGGTAGAAGTGAGGACAGTGAGGAGAACGGCGTAAAAACCACAGGAACACTGAGAGAGCTACGTTCCCACACACCTTACAAAGCAGGGACTCAGGCACCTTTAACCAGTCACTTGCTAATTAAAACACTGTACCTTAGGGTAAGCCCTTGGTCCCTCAACCCAGTGCAGTGCATGCAGGGGCCTAGTGTTATTTTACCTTCAGACCAGGCCTACCTCTGGCGGCAACTGTGAAGAGAAATGTGATAAAAGTGGGCTGTTGGTTGGCACCATGTAAAAAGTAACCGAACATTATTACCTTCAATAGCGATGCGCTTTTTGGGCCAGTCCTTTGATTCCCGGGATATCAATTCTTTGACGCGAATACTGATCACTAAATCAGCCAGATTAAACTCTAAAGCATAGAACCGCAGCAATTCCACCCAGAGCTGCCCAACTGGCACTGAAGGCTGGTGTTTTATATTAAATGTCAATGGCACCTATGGATGATAAGGAACACAGAGGTTAATTTAGATGCCAGCTCAACCTGAAAAGTCAGAGATCACTCAAACTTAAGTGAAAAATCTGAAGACTTCAGAAAAGCATGAGCTGGACAGTCCATCTAGGTAATCTTTGTGAGTTCTGTGAGCTGGACAGTCCATCTAGGTAATCTTTGTAAGTTCTATTTGGTCAGAGGCGAACAGTCCTGCACCCTGGGGTTCGAGTGTGTTAACACTCAGCCATTGTCCCCAGAACGTCACCACAGGAGCGGACAGCACTAGGTGTGAGGCCCCTGAGGAAGGCTGCTGGTGTGCTCAGGAAAGGCCTCCTGCTGCTGCTGCTGCTGCTGCTGGCAGAGGCACCTGTGCAGGTGGGGTACTGCTGAGGCAGGGGAGGAGGAAGAACTCACCCTATCTGCCAAGTGGTACTGCATCTTAAGTCAGATAACATTAATATCAGAAACTGACACGTGTGTGTCATCACAGACTCTGACAAGTCAAACAACATACGTGACAAAATCAAAGTCCATAGGACCTAGGATGGAAGGGAGCAGGGGAGAGTCCCTCCGTGACTGCCAGCGCACAGCTCTTAGCTACTCTGCGACTCACTTTCTCCACTCTAGGAGAACTGGCTGTGTGACAAGTCTAGTTTAAAACCCACACTCTGCCAGGTACTAGCTGTGATGACCTTGGTCAAGGTCTATAGCCTGTCTAAGACTTGAATTCCTCATCTGGAAAATGGGGATAGCAGTACCCACCTCATAGGGTTGTTGGGAAGACTGAGTGAGATAGTGTCTGTAAAGGGCTTAGCACAGTGCCTGGCAGACAGTGTTCAAAAAATGGTCGCTATCATTATCTGCAGAGAAGGGATGGTACACCTATAACACAGGACAGCGATGAGGATTAAATCAGCACCGAGGGAAAGCAGCTGGCAGATGTGGCTACTCTCGCACTCTTTCTCAGGAGCTATCTTTGGAAGAATGCAAACGTCACTGAAACACGTCACACTGTAAGATGCTCTTTAGAGGTAACTCAGTTCAATGCCCAAGTGCTACAAGAAGGACCTGAAAGGCGCTTCCATGATTGGTTGGTGACACTGCTTAGCAGGAAGAGTCAGGAGAGGCTAAGCATGCCACTGCTCTGAAGTTAAGGATGTTCTCTAGATGTCCTTAACCTCTCAAAATATCAGTTTTAAAATGAAGCATTAAATGGACATATAACAGTGGGTTCACATTTTTCTCTACTACACAACGAATAAAACATTTTCAATATATAATATATAAATTTGTCTACAATCACATTTCTAATACCACGCTTCAAAATAAGCAGTGTGATACTACATTAATTAGTAACCCTCAGGCACACAGATTCTGCCAATCATGAAAGACCATGCTGCGATTCCTGACTGGAACGGGCATGGTCTAAGTACCACACATTGTACCTGAGGACAAAGAAAGCCTGAGAGCCTTGCTGAATTGTACCTCTTTATCCACAGCCATTTGTCTCTCATGAAGGATTTTTAAGTCTCTCACTTAAGCCTTCAAAGCTTCACAGCAAGGAGCTTAGAAGATGTAAAGTGTCTACACCACTGTGTTAACCTTTTTTCCATAGAGAGTGTTCCTCTCCAAACAGGAGCAGCATAGTGCTGCCCATCGCACCACATCCCCAGCACTGAGCTAAACTCTCTAGGAGTCACTGACTGCTGGAGAGGGCACCGAGATCCCTTGTGGGGAGGAAGCCGTGGCACGGGAGAGTTAAGGGACCTAAGGACACACAGCTGGGAAGGCAGAGCTGGACACAAGAGCCTAGGCTGCTGCCCACAAACAAGTCTGCAGCTCACCACTGCTCCATAAACCATGGACTAGAGGAGTGACATGACTTTTTAGTATACACTGGACTTAGAACCACAAACCCCAGCCTTAGAAGTATTTTATGGCTAGTACAGTCATCTTATATCAAAGAATTCTTCTACTCAGTATCTTTAAAAGGTCTCTGCACATAGAAGAAGCCATATAAATAAATGGATTCGTGATGTCAGTTGTTCAACCTTTCTCATTACTTGTTTATTCAAGAGGCGGGATAGACAAGGAAATGAAACAGTCATGAACTAATGTATTAATACGTGAGCTCCTTAAGAAATAAACAGGGCCAACCATATGACCCAGACCTACACTCAAAGTCAGCTTACCATAGAGAAGCTGCACACCCATGTTTGCCAGTGCAGTCCTCACACAGGTCATGCTATGGAGTCAGTCTACAAACCCACATGGATGAAAACAATAGGTCTCTCTAAATGACATGAAATCTTATTTGTCCATAAAAAGGAAATTATGTTGTTGGCATGAAAATATATGGAATTAGAGATTATCACACTAAAATAAGGCAGTCTCACAAATATGGGAATCCCATTTTGTCTCATATGCAGAGCAGAAGAGCGGAATCAGGTAGGTCAGTAAAAAGGGGTCTATTCGGGATACGGAGAAGGAACAGTGGTAGGGGACAGGTGGACCAAGAAATGGTAGCAGAGGAACGAAGAAGATCAAAACAGATTACAATCACGCAGAGAAACGGCATTTGTAGTGAGACCCACTCCTAGGTACAATGAACTGGTCACGATAAAGCCACGTCTGGCAGCTTTGAGAGGCTGAGGCCGGAAGACTGCCACGAACTCCAGACCACCCTGGGCTACAGAGCAAGACCCTGTTTCCAAAACCCAAACCAACGTAAACAAAAGAGAGTGAGGACAAACAAGACTGGGGACAGACTGATGCGTGAACACCACAGCGACACCAGGGAGAACAGACCTGCCCCATCTTCCTGGGCGTCTCTTTGGGGGCCTCCTCTTTTGTAGTGCTGGCGCCCCCTGTGGTGTCATCGGTGTACTCCCAGACCACGGAGTCTTTCTCAATGTCTTTAAGGCTGAAATTTCCTAATTTATTTAATGAGAATTCTTCAATCTAGAAAAAAATAATTAGACATATCTTATTATATAGTATGAACAATTCTGATACAGAGGGTATCAAAATATTCATAGGAGTAAAAATTCAACACACACAACAGTTCACTGAACATAAAATTGGGGATGGCAAGATAGGTCAGTGGGTAAAAGGCCTAACGATCTGAGGTCAATCCCAAGGTAGAATGGAGTAGGGGGTTCTTGAAAGTTGTTCTCTGACTTCTACACACAATAATGAAAAAAATTACAAAAATAAAAAACCAAATCAGTTCACCAACTACCTTTAAGATTTGATAATTTGAGTATCTTTTCAGGGTAAAGAGCAGGGTTTTGATTTGCAAAAGCCATGGTGACTTTGCAAATTAAGTTTTCAGTATCCTGGCATGTCTGAGACCTGTCACAAAACTGGAAACAAACAAAACCCTTGGAGAAAACAAAATAGCCTAACAAGTATTTGAAGCTGCTGGTTCTAAAAGTAGAACTGACACTTTAGCCTTGGCTCCCTCTAGCTATGTGCCCTTGAGAGTCTGAGGCATCTCTCTAGGCCTCAGCATCCTGAGAAGTGGAGTCCCGTTACGAAGTACTGGTGCTATTATTTATCTGCTAATGGCACAATGTTCAAAAAATTTCAAAGGAGGCCAGGAATTGCTCCTATCAGCACTGTGAGGATATGCAACTATCATCTAGACCCCCCTCATTACAGAACAGTCTTCCGGGGGTGGGTGGTGTACCTGGACACACATGGAGTCCAAGCTTCTCAGCGAAAAGCAGGAGTTCAAGGAGAATCCAGTCAGCTTGGCAAGATTGGCTCAAAGACAAACAGGGCTGGAGAGACGGCTCAGTGTCTGAGAGCACTGGTTTCTCTTCCAGGACACAGGTTTGATTCCTAGCACCCATGTGATAGTTCACAACCACCGGTAACTACAGCTCCAGAGGATCTGATGCCTCTGGCCTCTGTAGGCGCCTACATGCATGCATGCCTGCATGCACACACACAGAGGCTAGGGAGACGCTGTGGCAGAGCATTTGTGATGGTAGCATGTTTGAGACCCTTAGTTTAATTCCCAGAATTACTACCCCATAAAACATTAGATATCACAAATTCTTATTAAGTCAAAAAGTATTTATGTATATTTTTTACATTACTAATGAAAATGTCAGTGCATTGCAGAAGAAAAGGTTTGGGGTGCTAAGCTCAGAGAGGCACTATGGAGCGCTGGACAGTTCTCTCCCTACACAATGTGGGGTTCATCAGTCATAGTGCCTGGGCTACTTTTCCTACCACTGAAAGAAGCAACGTGAGTAACAACATGTTTATTCTAGCTCATAGTCGATCATGGCAGGGAAGTGAAGGTAGCTTTCTCCTTCAACCCATATCAACCTGATGAAGACAACCCCTCTAAGCATGCCTAGAAGCTTGTCTTCCAGGTGATTCCAGATTCTGTCAAGTTGACAACACAACCATCACATGTAATCAACAAGTTAATGAACACACTAAGATGTGGATTGTTCCCAAATGTACACCTACTGGTTGTCAATCAATGGCTTAGCTGACAGCAATCCTACTGAAGAGTTAGAGCTCTCCTGCCTGTCCTGTTTTCCTCTCTACCCAAGAAGTCAGTCTTTTCCTGGCCTTCCTAACACCTCTATTCCCAGTGCCAGACTCCACCCCTTTTCTCTAAAGGCCTCCCCTTGCCACCCCCTCATTTCTCAAAGACACCATAACCTGACAGACATGCACTAGAACATGAGAAAGACCTCACCCAGTGGGCATGCACGTTTATGACATGCATTGTTTGGTTTGCTGTTCTAACACAGCACCCAGAATGGTTGGAGAGGGCAGTGCTCTATAACGATTCTCCCAGAAACACTTTGGAAGACAGGGAGTGATACTGTGTCTTCGTTAGATGCATTTTTAGAACTTAAAATGTTTACTAATTTTTAAAAAATATTTATTTATTTATTATGTATACAATATTTTGTCTGTGTGTGTGCCTGCAGGCCAGAAGAGGGCACCAGACCCCATTACAGATGGTTGTGAGCCACCATGTGGTTGCTGGGAATTGAACTCAGGACCTCTGGAAGAGCAGGCAATGCTCTTAACCTCTGAGCCATCTCTCCAGCCCCTAATTTTTAAACTTAATATAGATTATAGTTTTAGTTTTCTTAGAAACTCTTACTATGAAGACTTCACTTCTGAGCATTCCAGTTTTGACTTTCCGTAGGTGTCTGACCCATTCTGAGGTAACTGGGGAGTATAGGGGCTTAATGTTTGCCTTTTCCCCATGGATATTTGTTTTTTCTTGGTATTTCTTAAAAAGACATGTTGTAATCAAACACTAATATTTCGGTAACTTAAGTATGGTAGAATAATCAGATACTTCAGATCTGGTTAAGTGTTTAGATTTTTTTCAGAAGTAATTTAATAAGATCACTATTAGGCAAAACCAGAAAGTGTCATACCCATGATCCTAGATAAACTGGCAAGAGAGGGTCTTTCCTTTGCTGAAGAAAGAAAACGGCCATCAGAGCAAACACGTATGGCGGCAGGCCTCCTTCTTCAGGGCGGTCGATGCTACAAAGCTGCAACAAATCAAACCCACATTAGTGACACTTGTTTGGGGGTGGCTGAAGACTAAACCCATAGCCAACTTGTACTAGCAAACTCTGTCCTGAGCTACACCCCAGCTCCTGTAAGGTTTTTCCAATTCACCAAGTTAAAAATGGGGAACCCTAGCTGGGCGGTGGTGGCGCACGCCTTTAATCCCAGCACTTGGGAGGCAGAGAAACCCTGTCTCGAAAAACCAAAAAAAAAAAAAAAGGGGGGGGGGACCCTGTTTATCCCAGATTTAATGGCTATACCTGAATGAACCCTCTGTTTTTAACTGGGTATTTTATTCCTGGGCTGTCTTTTTGAGACAGGGTCTTGGTATGTAGTAGCTCAGGCTCCTGTCTCAGCCTCCTTAGCGCTGAGACTATCGATATGTGCTAACACCCGGCCAGCCATGATGTGATCTTCGTTTGGGGCTGCTGCTGACACTGCAACCCAACAACTTATCTAGAAGAACTGCAGGACAACTACAGTACTTCCGTCTTTCTGGAGTCTCTGACATGTTTCTGAAAATAGTCTAAGAAGTTTTATGTCGGGGCTGGAGAGATGGCTCAGCGGTTAAGAGCACTGACTGCTCTTCCAGAGGTCCTGAGTTCAATTCCCAGCAACCACATGGTGGCTCACAGCCATCTGTAATGAGACCTGGGGCCCCCTTCTGGCTTGCGGGCACATATGGAAGGAATGCTGCATACAAAATAAATAAATAAATAAATAAATAAATAAATAAATAAATAAATAAATTTTTTTTTAAAAAGAAGCTTTATGTCAAATAGAATAAAGAAGTTAAAATAGAACTTCTTTGGTTATTTATATTTAATAACCAAATATTACAAATATTAAATTTGTCCCAAATCTGATTTTTTTTCTTTTCTTTCTTTTTTTTCCCTTTGGTTTTTCAAGCTAGGGTTTCTCTGTGTAGCCCTGGCAGTCTGGAACTCATAGGGATCCACCTGTGTGCCCTGCGTGCTGGGATTAAAGGTGTGTGCCACCACTACCGCTTAGCTCCAAATCTGATTTTTAATAAGCATTATAATTCATTTTATCTTCTGAGGAATAATGTCACACTGAAGTAGAACTGCCGAGCTTTTCTTCTGTGTATGTTCAAGTTTCTAGTAAATATTCTGACATCCACTCTCTTGATGCCTGTAAATACATGTCTGACATCAGGCACGGTGACACATATCTGTAATTTCAGCACTCGGGAAGCAGAGACAGGAGGATAGCTGCAAGTTTGGGGACAGCCTGGATTATGTAGTGAGTTCCAGGCTAGCCAGGGCTGCCAAAACTAAACAAAAACAATCAAACAAACCCAACAAAATCCAAACAAACAAAACCAAAACAGATACTCACACACAAAATCCCCCCAATCCTACCTTTGCCCAGTATCTAAATGCAATCACCAGAGGAACCAGCCTTGGCTCTAGTTTTCCAAGCGCCATTAGGTGCTTTGTGGTCAGACACGCATTTTCATTTCCTGCACTCACTTTACAAAGAAGACCACTAGTGGGGGAAGGAGGAGGATGGGAGGGAAAAGAGAAAAACCTGTGTTAAATAGGGATACGTCAACAAATTTACACCAACAATAAAACCTAAAGACGAGCATAAAATCATGAGCATCTTCATTAAGACGCTAGATTTCAAAAAAAGGAGTTTTATTTTATGCATGTGACTATCTTGTCTAAATGTAAGTATATTGTGTGCCGTGCACATGTATGGTACCCTAGAAAGTCAGAAGAGGGCTCTGATTCCTGGAACTGGAATCCCTGGTTCCTGTAAGCTACCAAGTGGATGCTGGTCATCAAACCCAGCTCCTCTGCAGGAACAGCCAGTGCTCTTAACCTCTGAGCATCTCACCAACCCCAAAACTGGATTTAAAAAAAAAATGGCAGCTATTTTTGAGTATTAAAAGTATCTTGGAAAGAGCATAAGAACAGAGAAGTATTATCCAAGGCCTGCTTTGCCCATCCTAGTAGTACAAGAGTGTCCTGAGAGTCAAAGGGATTTGCCGGTAAGTGGCAGTGTCCGTGCTTTCCACACTGATCCTTAGCTCAGATGCACAAATGCTACTGAAGACAATGGCAAAGGTAATCAGGCCAGGTTAGCTGAAATCTGTTAAGATACTTCCAACACTTTATTTTCCTTTTCTTCTAAAATTAAAAGGACAGGGAAGATGCCAGCAAGTACAAGTATCAGCCAGGTTAGGAACTTACCTGGTTAGGAAGTTAAGCCTGAGATTTAATCAAGTACTTGTGACTTTGGTGATCTGAGGAGCTGGGCATAGTGGTACATTCCTGTGATCCCAGCACAGAAGCAAGCACACAGCCACAAGCTGGAGGCCATCCTCAGCTACATAGTAATTCAAGGCCATCCTGGGCTACATATTGTTAGACTGTATCTCAAAATAAACCCAAATACAATAAATCATATAAAATAGCTTAAAGACACGAGACCTTTGCTTATCTCTGCACACCACCACGGGCACCCGGGCGTGGAAGTCAGCGTCCACGTCAGTGAAGGAGTCTGAGGAAAGAGGAAAAGCAATCAAGCCGGTTAATTCAAACCTTTGAAATGCAGAACTGGGAAAGCTCAAGAGCAGTGTGGGCCTGAGGCCACTACACAAACCACCCTCAGGTGACTTAGGAAGAGAGAGCACTGTGTCCAAGAAGGCCCTAATCTTTCACAGCTAGTGTTTGACCAGGACTGCAGCATTGAAGCAGCATTTAAATGCTATGTGGACAACATAATTAGAAATATGCACAGAGATTAAAGACAAAGTGATGCGAAAGCTACTAAACCATAGTGTCAAATATGTAGCGACTGAAACAAGATGAAATGTTTAAATGTCTCTTATAACAAACCGAAAGAATAAGAACACCTAACTTAAGGGAAGGTACCATCCCCGAAGAGGCCTAGCTACTGAGAAAAAGCCATCAGCCCCAAGGGGGACATTGTATTGGACAAGACAACTGATGAGCCCATTTGGGAACAATTGTCTTTGAGTTCATTAATCCGGATGGGGCCATACCTATTCACCACTTGAAAGGCTGGTTTAAACCACACAATGAAGCAGATCACTATGCCTTTATTCCCAACAGTAAATACCACAGATTTTTGAATTTTTCACTCAGTCTAGGGCTCACTAATCCTGAATGCTGTCAACCTAACCACTGGCTGACTGCTGGTCCTGCAGAGTGTGCTAGCTGGACTCTAGCTAATAATTCAAGGGCGTTTACTTTTATTTTTGCTTTGGATTTTACCCATGTAAGTAATTTTTAAAAGTGAAATTCCTACTTGCAGTTTGGTAGTAAGATATATTCAAATTTATAGACAGAAGACAAAATCAGAAGCAAAATGTGGAAGAATTTGGCCTTACCACTGTTCTTTAAACATTCTTGAACAAGTAAGAGGACATCTGGCTGAGACATCTAGGAAATAAATGAATGAATACATGAAATAATCCCTGAGTATTTTTGTTTTTCTGGTATAATACAGTTTGAAGTTCCCCAAATTGCTTTCCAAATAAGAAATGCACATTGCTACAGGTGAAGAGAATAGTCATTAGCCTGTGTGTAAAGCCAACCAAGAGTCCGTGAGGAGGCATGGGTGTGGGTAAAGGACTGGCTAACTATGTAGAAACTCGTTCCTGAGGTAGTGATCCCCTAGCTGTCTCAATGGCGGTTGGAAGGTGTTCTACTGCAACAATGTTCCTCTCACTCTGAAACACTGTTGCAAAACACAGCTACACGTTCCAATATCAATATCCCTTTCTCTAATCTTTGTTCCACATCGGACCCAAACCCTTCAAGATTCTCCAATGGATCCTTTAAATTTGTTTCTTATGTTGTTGGTTTGAGGTGTTTTATTTTTAGATTTGTGTGTGTGTGTGTGTGTGTGTGTGTCCCTGAAGAGATCAGAAGAGGGTGTCAAATCCTCAGAACAGGAGGCATCTGGCAGTTGTAAACAGGAGGCAGGTGTAGGCAGTAGCAAACACAGGTACTCTGGAAGCAGCATCAACACTGAACAGCTGAGCTGTCACTCTAGCCTTTTTCCGACCAGGTCTTGTTCTACAGCTGAGCCTGGCCTCAAATCATAGGAATCCTTCCACTGCCTCTCGAATGCTGGGATTACAGGTGTGAGCCACCTTCCCAATTCATAGGTTCTTAAAATACTTGCTAATATCATACTGTTGTTAGGTCAAGGTCAAAGTTTGACTACACAGTCTTCAAGATCCTGTACAACTGGCCCAGGTCTCTACAGGCTAAGCAGAGTTCTGTGGAAATGTGCCCTCTTTGAGGAAGCTAAGTCTGTTCCCAGAGCTTGACCCTGAGTCCTGCTTCTTTGCACAGTGGTCACTGAAGAAACAGCATATGTCCTGACTAGCTACAAGTGCCAGAGAGCCAGGCCTATCTTGTCCTTTACAAACTAGCACAGTGCCCACATGCAACAGGGACTTAGTGAAAATTTGCTTTATCAATGATACCAGATCAAAATAACTATTATGGATTTACTCTGATAAATCACTTAGAATTTGAAACTTAAAAAACTATTAAGATTGGGGCTATAGATGGCTCAGCAGTTAAGAGCACATACTGCTCTTCCAGAGGACCTGAGTTCAGTTCCTAGTGCCCACATTAGGCAGCTCACAACCACTTGTAACTCCAGTTCCTAAGGGGAATCTAATACCTCTGGCCTCTGAAGGCACACCTACACTCACGCGCCTATACCTACATGAAGACGACAGGCAGACAAACACAGACAAACACACACTCTAAAATAAAGTTTTAAAAAAGAAGTAAAATTTATGGGTTACCTAATCAGGTAGCTATAGAATCAAGCACAGCAAGGAATGAGAGACTATGAGCAAGACCATCAAGGAATCCAACCTCAGAATCTGGTTGTTGTTTCAAAGACAGGGTCTTACTAAGTAACCCTGGCTGACCTGAAACTTCACTATATAGACTGGGCTGGCCTCATACTCACAGAGACTCACCTGCCTCTAGGACCAAAGGCATGTGCCACTGGCCTCAGAATCTGTATTTTTAACAAACAGCATAGACCAGTTGTGAAAAAGACAGTGGGAACCAGAGTGGGCAAACGGATAATCTAAGTTTTTTCTGGGCTTAAAGTTCTGACTTTATCCATGTCTTTGGGAATCACATTTTACCAAAACGAAGGCTTAGGTAGCTAGTTTGCGAGTGTGTGTGTGTGTGTGTGTGTGTGTGTGTGTGGTCCTCACTTTATGCTTGCCTCCAGCTTGCTTTGTCTGAGGCTAGCCTTGAACTCCTGACCTTCTTGCCTCCAGTTCTCTAGTACTAGGATTACAGGATTCCATCATAAGGTTGTTTTAAAAAGCCTATTTTTTAAATTGCATGTATGCATTGTTCCTATGTGTGGGGACATACATACATGTGGCCAGAGGACAGTTTGTGGCGCCAGACATGGAGCTCCAGTCATCAGGCTTGGGTCAAGCACTTTTACCCACTGAGCCATCTCTCTGGTCCATCACTATTTTATTATTATTATTACTACTACTATTAATAATACATAAAAGGGGAACTGGGAGCTAATTAGGTTTCCAGACCATGTTTTCAAACATACACTATTTGAATCTCTGCCTTCCTGTCATAGAAAGTTTGGTTTTATGAGGGGAATTTAAACCTTCTGAATTCATAGACACATACACACCCTCGCAAGATCCATACACCTCAAAAGTAAGTAGAAAAGATCTGTAGAAAAATAAACATGAAAATCTGTAAAGTAAAACAATAAAATTCTGAAGCTGCAGACAGACAGAAGACATAAAAATGAAAATTCTCAGGGAAAGCTGTCATGGCCACACTTTAAGCCTCAAAATATATTCACATCCAGGTCACATTGGAAAGAATTTACACTTTTTGCCATCAGACAGCCAAGAGTCTGGAGCACGCTCTCTGGAAAAGCCTATGCCACTGTGCACCACAGCAGGCTGACACCAGCCAAAGCTAAAGTCCTAGAAAGGAACACGGTGACAAAATGGCTTCGTGAGGCCTGATTTCCTCACAATCCATATGAGCCCTAGGGACTCGCTCATCAGCAATCAAATCCTGAGAATTCTCAGATCTAAAAGCCTTGCCCCTAATGTCCCCAAGAGCACCCACCACTCCATTAAGAAAGTGGCTTCTGCCAGGTGCACGCCTTTAATCCCAGCACCAGCGAGGCAGAGGCGGGTGGATCTCCGCGAGTTCAAGGCCAGCCTGATCTACAAGAGCTAGTCCTAAGACAGGCTTCAAGCTTTCAAGAAACCCTGTCACAGAAAAACAAAACAAAGAAGAAAGTGACTTCTGTGTACATTTTGAGAGGAACAGAAAAGATAAGGACACCAACTGGCTTGATATTCTAAGACCAAGCAGGTCTGCCCAGCCAAATGAAAATACACACAAATGTGGCCAAGTTCTCCGCAATAAAACAAGCTTAAAATAAAGACAGGGCCGCAGGAGTTAAAGCACTTCTTCTGGAGGACCAGAGTTCAGATCCCAGCACTCACACCAGGTGGCTCACAAGCTCCAGGGGATCTGATGCTCTCTCTGGCTTCCATGGACACCTACACACATGGCATTCATGCACATGCATGCACACGCGCGCGCGTGTACACACACACACACACACACACAGAGTAGGAAGGGCACGTGAGTGAGTTCATACCAGCATGTAAACATAAAACCTTTCTTAAAGCTAAACAAATAAGAGAATTCTTGATGACTGCAAAGTCCAGCACATCATTTTGTACTTACGATAGCTGGAAACTGAACATCAATGTTCACATCTGAGTCTTTGAAGCCGAGTCTGCTACAGGAAGATCCATACAGCCTAAGAGAACAGTCTAGAAACAAGTAAGTATATGGGAGTCACAGTTAAAATCTCTCAAAAGCTGTAACCAAACACTGCTGTTTAAAACCCAAAACTATCAAAGCTGCGCCCAGAAGCAAGACCATCCGAGCCCAGATACTCGCAGAGGAGGACTACAAAGCCATTGCTCAGCCTTTTGACTCCAGCCACCCTGCCACAGGCTCTGAAGCATCTAATGATCACATTATGATCACGATCACATTTTAAAATCCTGATGTGGAATGTGGAAAGTCCCCTGGTTTTAGAACCTCAGTACATCGTGAGCTACTACAAGCATTTCTTTCTAGTGTCAGAATGCACAGGGAGCTCTGACTTAGTATATGGAGTAGGTTTCACTAAAAAGTAAGGGTTCTTGCTGTTGTTCAGGTTTGCCTTTGTAGTGATACTGTGTTTGTTTTAAAAAATAAAGCTTGCCTGAAAATCAGAGCACAGAGCTAAGCCACTAGAGTCCAGGCAATGTTGGCACACACCTTTAATCCTAGTACTTGGGAGTTCCACACCTTTAATTTCAGCACTAGGGAGATAGAAACAGAAAGGGAGATGGCTGGGCTGAGGGAGGAATATGAGGGAGGACACAAGAGCTCACTGGAGTCTGAGATTTGGTGGAGACAGATGCAGTCTGGAGATGCAGTCTGAGGACAGGATCAGCCCTTTGGTCTGAGCACTGGTAGAGGTAAAAGAATTCTCTAGTGGCTGGCACTTTGCTGCTTCTCTGATCTTCAGCATTAACCCTATATCTGACTCTAGGTTTTTGTTATTAACACCAGTTAGAGTTTGTGCTACATGCCTTGATCCTGGGGCAATCATTTTGCTGCATCCTCCCAAAAGCTGGAACCCCAGGCTTGTCTACTACACCCAGCTAACAGTGTCATTTTTGTGAGGGAACAGGTCTTTGAGGCAAGGCCTCAAGTAGCCCTGTTGGCACCTAACTACCTCTGTAGCCGAGAATAACTGTGAACTTCTGATGCCCCTGCCCCCACCTCCTCCCAGGCGTTAGAACTGCCACCACATGAAGCTCTGAAGTGACTTTTCAGTAGGAATCACCACAGCATGAACAAACGCCTTGAGCAGAACACAACCACTTCTGAAAATCATTTGCAAAATACTACAGAATAATTTAAACTGTGACAAGCTGGGTGTGGTGAGGCTCACACCCAAGTCCCCACATTTGGAAGGTTGAGGAGAGAGATGGAGTTTACTCATCCCCTCATGAGGGCATCTCCTGGTCATTTGTAACTTTAGTAAATTTTATTTGTAAAATTGAATATACTTTGTTATGGAAAACCGGTGAAACCCAAGAAGTCACTCAAATCATTTAATTTTTTTTTAAAATGATAAAGCTCCCCTTGATGGGGAAAGTCTTTTAGGCACAGTGGAAGAAGCATTGAAATTAACGCTATAAACGCACACAGGTGACTCACGTCTGCACCCACACCTTGCTAAAAGAGCAGTGTGCCGGGCGGGGTGGGGCACGCCTTTAGTTCCAGCACCTGGGAGGAAGTGGGCAGCTCTCTGAGTCTGAGGCCAGCCTGGTCTACAGAGTGAGTTTCAATCCAAACAGGGCTACACAGTGAGACCTTGTCTCGGGGGAAAAACAAAAGAGGAAGTGCTTTTAATTTTGGTTGCTTGTTATGACCGTCATGTGCATAACTTCGGTATGAGTAGTTCAGAGTCGTGATGTAATTAAGCCATGACTCCAGCTCTCTTCCCTCCCTCAGCCTGCAGCTCACTAAGCAGCCCCAGGTAGCCTGGACCTCATGATCCTCTTGCATCAGCCTTCCAAGTGCTGGGGCCTTGTGGGATTTTTGGACGGGGTTGTCTGCTATTCACTGGCAATTCTGCCACACAGGAAAGACTCCGGAGCCGACTAAGCTCCTCAGTCACTTGCCTACAGAGGCCCAGCCAGTGTGTGGGTGAGTCTGCTGCTGTGCAGGACCGGACAATGACTGTCAGGCAGTAACTGCCCCAGCCTTAAATGTTACAGACAGCTTGCCCCTCGAAAGTTAACCCCATAACTCGATGACTCTAAAATTAAAGAGGCAGCCGGGCAATGGTGGCGCACGCCTTTAATCCCAGCACTCGGGAGGCAGAGGCAGGCAGATCGAGACCAGCCTGGTCTACAGAGCTAGTTCCAGGACAGGCTCCAAAGCCACAGAGAAACCCTATCTCGAAAAACCAAAAAAANAAAAAAAAAAAAAAAAAAAAAAAAAAAAAAAAAAAAAAAAAAAAAGGCAAAAGACAGACACAACTTGGAAATCATTGCAAGAGTAAACAAAACAATAGCACATAATATACACTAGGCTTCAAAACCCAGTTTCTATACAATTCTTTCATGTACATTTAAATATAATTCTATTTTGACACATATAACTTAAAAATTACTTCAGGATACCCTTTCGATGAACTGGGCTAGGGCTCAGTATAGTGGAATTTCCTAGTATGTATGAGGTTCTAGATTTCATCTCTAGTGCTATAAAAATAGTCTAATAAATAAGGCTAGTTAAAAAATAAGAGCTGGGGATGTGGCTCAGCCAATATCAAAGCACATGTCTAACATTTGCAAAAGGCTCTGTGTTTGCTTTCAGCACTGTAAAACAAACAAACAAACTAAAAACCCCTATGCTAATTTAGATCAAAAGTAACCAAACATACACAGACCTCATAGCTTCTCAATAATACAGGGTATTTAACTGTATTTAGCCACACAATAAAATGTATAATGGAAAGAGACATATAATGACAGTGCATGTAAGTTGTCTGTTACCTTGGGAAAAGTCAGAAACACATATATACACACACACTAGAGCTAGATGTGATAGCACGTGCCTGTAATTCCAGCCCACGAGAAACTAAGGGAGGGGATTCATGAGTTCAAGATCACCCTGGACTGAATAGCAAATTTCAGACCAGACCAATCCACTAGAATAAAGAAGGGAAACAAAACAAAATGAACACTACCCCTCCTCTACCCCACTGCCCACACATACCAAAACACCACCAACACCAGAACACTAAAAAGGGGCCTTTTCTGATGTAGCAAAAAAAGTCCTAGTAATGCCTTGTTTCTGGAGATGGGGTTGGCTATGTAGTCCAGGCTGGCCTCAAGCTTGGGACCACTGACCTGAGCCTTGGTAAGCTGGTATTATAGGCAGCAGCCCAGTGCCTAGGCCATAAGTTAATTCTCTCCCCGCCCCTCACCCCAAGACAGGGTTTCTATGTGTACCTTTGGAGCCTGCCCTGGAACTCACTCTGTAGACCAGGCTGGCCTCAAACTCACAGAGATCCTCCTGCCTCTGCCTCTCAAGTGCTGGGACTAAAGGCGAGCACCCCCATCGCCTGGCCCAAGTTAATTCTTATTAGGTGAAGTAACGTTAACTGTGAGGTACTCTTGCTAAACAGAAAAAATGAATCTAGAAAATACCTGGTAGTTTGTGCTGGAAGACACTTTCCATGACATGCTTGATTTCTAGCCTCTGATCCAGGTTTTCATTGTGTAAACCGAACTCCTGCACCACTCTGTCAACGGCACTGCCAACTGCATTTATCTGGGAGGGTGTGGGCGGGGGCAGTGTAGTGAGCAACTCTTCCTCCTGCTTTTCCTGTAACGTCAATGGTAAGATTAAAAACTCATATGTACTCTGGCCTTTCACTTCTCACTGAGACAGTAGCTTGCAGAATTTTTTGTGCTTTCCTTATCTTAGACATGGTGGTCTTCAGCCTACCACATCCACACTCAGGCACGCACCATGTAGTTAATATGGATAGGAAGGAGCAGGCAGGAATAAGGAGACAAGAACATGGATGAACAACAGACATCATGTGCCTCCTGCCAGTGGCTTCCTACATCCTGACTCAGTACTGGGGAAATGCACAGGGCTACTCTGCAAACACAGGGAGCAGTGGAGCAGTCTCTGGGGTGTAAGGAAGCCAGACTCACCCTGAGGTTCTTCTTGTGCCTCTTCTCCTTGATATGCTTATGAGCAAACGGGATGGAGTCCATCAGAGCATCACACAGCTTGCAGGTGTATTTTGCTGTAGGGCAATTTCTTGGTCGCTACAGTTTGAAAAGATTGAAAAAAAGGTGTATCTCCAAACATTTACAGAAACAAAATTAGCCAGAAGAATGGTTTCCCCCATCACTTCAAAACTGAACATCATTCTTGCCTACCTACAATGGTGGTGACTCTTGATTTTCTTAAACCACACTGAATGTCTATCCCTTAACATACAGACTTACACAAGGATAAAGAAGTGGAAACCCAATCCACTGAGGCAAATGTTGCAAATACTAAGAGTGTAAAGTGAAGCAGATATGACCCAGAAAATGTATGCACAAATATGTTACCCTTTTTAGCCTGTGGATGCAGTCTCTCTTCAGCCGTTCCTCGGCCTGATGTAAGCCCAGAAGCTCCTTTGTTGAAAGTACAGACTCGTCAATCACAGGCCCCTCCAACTCTCCATCCTGCTCACTCTCTTCATTTCTAGTCCTCCGTGGCTTCCGAGGTCTGGACCGCTGTTTCTTGTTTTCTTAAGTTAGGGGACAACAGTGGCAGTGGTGAGTACCATCACTTGGAGTAAGAAGTACAACTTTCTTCCTTTGCACTCACTTGCTTACACACAGCCCTGGGGACTGAGCCCAGGTCCTAACATATGCTGGCAAGTGCTAGACCCCGTGCTCTCCCCCAGCCCACAGGAACTTACTCCAGTGATGGGCAAGTGACGCCTGAACACTGAACAATGGAGAAAGCACTCTCTACATTCACCCAACCACAAAAATCACTGCATTACGCTGCTGAGCACAATCATGCAACAGTCAAAGTCTCCCGCTGAGCAGATGTAACTGTAGTTCCAATACACTTGATATATAATGTACGCATACAGTATTTTCAACCAAACTGTAAGTGCACCAGGTGTTCATATTTGTTTTGTTTTAAGTGAAGACTCCCAGCGGAGAAGGACACCACTGCATGGACTTGAAGAGCTCAGAAATTGATCATTTTCTTATGTGACTGCATGAAATCATTTAGATACAAATTTAGCCTTCAATCACAATTGGGTTTCTTCATTAAGAAGAAAAAATTCAAGCCAAAGTTTTACTGAGAACACACAGTTCCCACTTTACTTTGGCTTTAGTTTTTTAAAATACCACCGGCACATTGAGCACATTCCACAGGGGAAAAACTGGCAGACAAAAAAAAAAAAAAAAAAAAAAAAAAAAAAAAAAAAAAAAAAAAAAAAAAAAAAAAAAAAAAAAAAATCAAAGTTCAGATGAAATAAAGTTATGAATTTTTTGTTAGTTCTATAATCCTTAGAACAAATAAACAAATTCAAGCTAACTACTTTTCAACCTGTGAAGCATACAATTGTGGGACTGAACTTTAAAAACACGGGGCGTGGCCTTGGGGCTATCAGGTTCTGAAAGACAATGCATGCTAAGCATAACGTGGGGCTAAGATAATATTTATACCCGAGCTAAGCCTCTGAATGAGGGCTGGAGAGATGGCTCGCTGGAAGGAGCTCCTGCAGAGACCTGGGGTCTGCTCCCAGCACCATAGAGCTTATGCAGGCATGGACAATGCACAAACCCACATAAACAATAATACAAATCTATTTTATAAATAATAAAATAAATCTATTTAAAAATTCTGATTAAATAGATGGAATGGTTGTTATTGACTTTTCATAAATTAGTGCTTGGGAGAGATTTTGCATAAAGCAACCTCTCTCTGGCCTTCAGAGGAACTCATGACCAGTATAGCAATTGCAATGCACTAGCTAATTTCAGAAGGGAATTCTGGATAGAAAAGGAAATGCAGGACTTCCAATCTTAAAGAATACCACTGCTGGGGCTAGAGACGGCTCAGCAGTTAAGAAGGCTCACAGTCATCAGTAAGTCAAGTTCCAGGGGACCTGATGCCCTCTCTGTCCACCACGGGCTGCTATATATGGATGGTGTACAGACAGCCATCCAGGTGTGCACACACATTCACATCTTACAAAAATAAAGAATGCCACTGCCAGATTGGGAACTTAGCTAGGTGGCAGAACACTTGCCCAACATGCACGCGGGCACCGAAGACCTCACGATGTGCAGCCTGGGGAAGACAACCCACCAACCGACAATAATCAGCTACGGCTGTGATCAGCTGTGCACTCTGCTACACTGGGACACCGAGGCAAGGGAGAGCTGAAGAAAGGGCTGGGTGATGGCAACAGCAAGCATCACCATCTCATTCCATGGTGGAGGGAAAACGCAAGTGCTTTTATGTGCCCTGCCTCCTGTGATCGCTACAGTAATCCCCTCATCAGTGCTGAGATTACCCCATCGTGCAGTTGGTGACAAGAGCCGACTCAGAGAACTATGCAACTTGCTAAGGACACAGGGCCAAGGTAAAATAAAGATCTAAACTGCAACTTAAAATATACCAGAAATGAGCTTTGTACCTCCCAGTATGCAAAATGAAGAGAAATCCCCACAAGGCCCCTGTGGTACACACCGTTCCACATCAGGAACAGACAGAACTGACAGGGCCATCGAGGCTTGCAGTATCAACTGTGAGGAAAGCTCCCTGGAGCAGCAAAACAGCCAAGAAGGCTCCTCTACCACTGACAAGATTTCATGCTCCCTGAGTGTCAACCCCAGCTGTCTGTGAGCATTCCAAGTCCCTCACTTCTTATTTGCATACGGACATCAACCCAGTCACAGAGGACATTTGAATGGATGCCTCCAGTCAGCCTATGAATGACTTTGCCCCAAATACTTTACACTGACAATTAGACATTTGAAGGCTAAGGGAGGGGGCAATAATGTAGAATTAAAAAAAAAAAATCAGTACTTAAAAAGTTTTAAAAATCAACTTTAATATATTTTTTTTTTTATCACATCTCATAGTTTGATTGATCCTTATTGTTGCAGGCCATGGTGGTGTACCCCTTTAATACTGGAACAAAGGAGGCAGAGGAAGGTGGATCTCTATGAGTTTGAGGTGGCCTTATCTACATAGAGCATTCCAGACCCACCAATGGATATAACAGAAGACCCTGCCTCAAAAGGGAAAATTTCAATTTCTTCACTTGGGAACTTAAAACTCACGCCTGGACTTCATACATACATATAAACATACATACTTAAATGAGCTTCTGCAAATGCAGGGACAATGTACCCCACTTTGCACCTGCTGAGGCGCCTCCCTAGTTATTCCTAAAAAGGGGGTGAGCATGTGTAAGAGGGTTTAGGTCTGCACTCAGCCCCTTTAATATTTCTAGTTGCAAAACACTGATCCATAACTGTATCAGCAGCAGCAGCAGTAGTGATTTTAGACAGGGTCTCACTAAGCAGCCTTGGCTGGCTCACTAGGTAGACCAGGCTGACCTCAAATTCACAGATCTGCTAGCCTCTGTCTCTTGCACTCTGAGAATAACAGTGACACTCAGCTTGGCTTAACACTCACCTTTTAAGGTGGGTCATCCAGCCCAGTCTCAGTAGGGTACGAGACTCTAAAAGTCCCTTTCCCTGCCCTTTTTTTTTTATTTTGTTTTCAGGATGGTCCTGCCCTTTTTTTTATTTGTTTGCTTTATTTTTTCTTGAAACCTAGACTGGCCTGGCTACCACACCTGGCCTAAAAAAGACTCTTAACCGTCCCCTCTCCAAGGTCTTGTCATGTAGTCCAGGCTGGCCTCAAATTCTCCATCCTCCCGCCTTGTCCTCCCTACTTCTGAGATTGCAGGAATGTGATACACACATCTTAATGTTATAGTTTCTGTAAGACAAATGTAATTTAGTGTCCACATCTACATGAATGCTATAATATAGAAATACTTAAGTATGCAAAAAATTATTAAAAAAGAAACAAACAAATCAAAATACCAATAAATATTCCATTTCCTTCTCAGGACTCCAGGTCCTACAAGACTGAGGGAATGGCCAGAGTGACAGAATGAACACCCAATTTGTTTCAGTTTGAGTTTCACTTTCTCACCCAGCACTGTATAAACAAGTCTGCACAGTCTGACCTCTCCAGTCTGCACAACTTCCAACAACAGCCTTTCTAGTTTGCCCAGCTCTAATATTTGTAGGCTATGGTTCTTTTTATGGTGTGTGTGTGTGTTTTGTTTTTGAGACAGGGCTCTTTAAACCTTAGCCCAGGAAGAAGCAGGAGGATCGCTGTCAGGCCAGTCTGGTCTACATAGAAAGTTCCAGGTCAGTTAGCACTACACATTAAGACACTTGTCTTTAAAAAAAACAATTTTAAGCTGGGCGATGGTGGCGCACGCCTTTAATCCCAGCACTCGGGAGGCAGAGGCAGGCGGATCTCTGTGAGTTCGAGACCAGCCTGGTCTACAGAGCTAGTTCCAGGACAGGCTCCAAAGCCACAGAGAAACCCTGTCTCGAAAAACCAAAAAATAAATAAATAAATAAATAAATAAAAATAAAAAAAGCAATTTTAGTCCACTCTCATACTATAAACAGTTTTCACATTTTTGCATCCAATTTACGACTTTTATTTCACATCAGTAAATACATCAATTAAATAAATAACTTTCTTGTTTTGAGGAATAATTGCTACACAACATCTACTTGCACCTTTTAGAAAAATGTACAACCATTTGTATAATTATTATAAAGCATGTGAAGTTAGCTCTGACTACATGAAACTCTCAGAAAAAGAAACAGATTTTGATTTTTCTGAATGGGAGCAGCACTGTTTTTATCTGCATTCTGGGCCTCTAAATACCCATTTTCAAATTCTGTCATAATGCTTGTATTCCAACTTCCCAGGCCCCACATGGCTTTGTTTAACAGCAGCTCAGCTTCCCTTTTCTCCCCAAACCTTCTCTTTCCCCACCACTACCTCTTTTTTTTTTTTTTTTTTTTTTGATTTTCAAGACAGGGTTTCTCTGTAGCTTTTGGTTCCTGTCCTGGAACTAGCTCTTGTAGACCAGGCTGGCCTCGAACTCACAGGGATCCGCCTGCCTCTGCCTCCCAAGTGCTGGGATTAAAGGCGTGCACCACCACCGCCTGGCTGCACCACTACCTCTTCCACCCTCTCTTTGGAATATATGCAGCCTATACTGTCTTCACATTAAATATTTTAGTTTGAAATTGTCATGTACATTATGAACACATTTTAAAGTTAAAATTATGAACATAAAAATACATATACATTACTCAGAAATTACAGTGTGACCTCCAAGGTCATATGACCCCCCTCATCTATAAAGTGTTTACTAATAATGTAAAATGGACCTTACTTTTTTTGAGTTTTGGGGGACAGTACCCTGGCGGCCCAGCCTGGATTTGAGCTTGTGACAGTCCAACGTCTGAAATATGTTGAGTTACCCAAGTATAGCACTATAAACCCTAACATAATCACATTAAATAGCTCATTACTGAAAATAACAAAACTAATTTGGATGAAAAAAGAATACAGACACGTAACCTAGAGACGTGAAGCATACCAGGGCTTCCTGCTTCCATCTCTGACATGGCTTCCAGGCCGGTGATGTCCTTCTGAAACAGCCTTCTGGCTGCTCTGCAGCCTCTGCCGTCCGGCCACCTGTAGCACTCGTCACTTTCTTGAAAGGAGTCTTTCCTTGACCGGCTTATGGTGGGAATCCTAGGTCCCGGCTTGAGCTCTCTCCAGCTATCTGCATTACCAGCAAGTTCATCTGGCAGCCATCTCTTATTTTGATCTTTGTGGTTGTCATTCATCCAAGCAGGCTGGCTGTACATTGGGTTTTTAAATGCATATGGATTGCTGGAAACCGCATATGGTCCTTTCCTGGGGGTGTTCCCATAGTTCCCGGGCGCTATCTTTTTTTTGGGAAGGCCTTTTTCCATTTTACTGCCGTGGCCTTTAGCATAATCATCCATTATTAAATAATCTTGTTGGGGATGACCCCTTCTGAAATCATCATCATCAGTAATTCCACGGTCTTTAGTGCGCTTCACAAAGTAAGGTTTTGCTGTATCTCCCATGGTCTTTGACTTCAACTTTCTTACTTTGTACCTGGAAGAAGGCATTGTGGCAGAAACAAAATGATGTCATACCAAATACTCTAACGCATCTCCATTAAAAAAATAAAACTGCTACACATTCCTAATAATTAGTGCATTCCTGAAGTTAGGAGGCTTAGCCCTTTAGTGTCCACAAAAACCAGTCTTTAATGTTCCGACCAAACTTGAAGATGCTTCTATAACCTCACAAACTAAGGTAGCAACTTGGTTAGCTTCTATGTAGCAAAAAAACACCTCTCGTCAAAGTAAACATCCTAAGTCAACAATGTTACAAAACTCCCCCAAGTCTATTAAAAAAAAAAGTTGGCAATTACTTTCAAGTGTCAAAGTAGCCGAAACTATGTGAACAGATTTAGACCAAGCCCTCTCTCGGCTCTCCTTTTCACTTCAGACCCGGCGCGACGGCCGGGCGAAGGAAGGAGCAACACTCCCCAGCAAGGTACCACAGTCTCAGGGCCGGGCTCCCGACCGAGGGGCAACGCCAGCTGACTTACCCGATTGCTTAGCCCAGCCCCGGACAAGTCCGGTTTCGACACCAACCACAATCTTCCGCGGAATGACACTCCTTTTCCTTCCCCATTCGGCTGCCCCACCCCTGTGTGCCTCAGTTTCCACAAGCGGAGTCCCCAGGCGATGGAGGCAGCGGCCCCGCACTACCGGCGACGAAGGCGCCGTGGGGACTGGGAAGCAGGAAGCGCCCGGCCATTGACAAGGTTCCGGGGGTCCCTTCGGGGCCAGGGCCGGAGCCCCGACACAAAGTGAAGACACGGACTCGAACCCGAGGGCTCCGGGCGCGCAGCCGGGCTGAGGCGGCCCGAGAAGGACGGCGCCAACGTACCTCGGGGCGGGGCAGACGGGCTCTTCGGGGCCCGGGGTAAGCCACGGGCCCAGCCCGGAGGCTAGTCCGGGAGGGACGCGACGAGACGGCGCCCCGGAGCACTCACCGAGCTCCGCTGCGGTCCCCCGCCGCTTCCTGTCCGGGCCGGGCTCCTCTCCGTGTTTTCCTTCGGCCCCACTTCCGGCGCTCAGCGCCGTCTCATTGTGCGCGATTGGAGGCCGGCGGTGCTCCGCCCCGCGCTCCGCCGCGGGCCGGAAGCGCGCACCGGAAGTACGCGCCGCCCTGGTTCCGCCCAGCGACGGGCGCGCGCAGCGGGTGCGGCCCGAAGGGTCCGGGTGGCTCTCTTCTTGCGGGCTCTGCTACCGAGCGCTCTCGGACGGGATCCCCTGAGGCCCCTTTGTGGCTTCCGGGGAGACTGAGCCAAACTGTTCCTAGTGACTCAAGGTGTGAGCGAAGGCTTCGTGGCCGACCTTGAAGAAAGACCGGCGACCTAAGCCTCTGGCTTACCCAGCTCTCATGCTCCAGGGTACACTCCTCCTCTTTTCTTTCTGTTTCATGTGATTTAGTTTGACTTTTATGAAAAGTCACATTTTGGCGGAGACAGACAGGAGAATCTCTGAGCTCGAGGCCAGTCCAGTCTACATTGGGGAACCCTGTCTCAAAAACAAAACAAAACAAAAAGGTTCTATTTTGAGGAATACATGTATTGGTCAATTTGTTTTCTAGCCCAGCATTCATTGTTATCCGAAGTGTTCTAAATGCCTCAAAAACATCAAGCAACTAATACATAGGAAGTGTTGGAAAAAATAAAGCCGTTTTTATTTATATGCTTACCACATAACAAATTTAAATCCATTGGTTCTGTAGCCAATAGTCTTAAAATGAGGAACATATACCAGCCTTGGCTATTCCAAGACTCTGTCTTGGAAACTTTGTACATAAATATTAACTCAATCCTACTGATTTAGGGCGTCAGGATCATGATACAATGTTGCAAAGCAAAGGGACACGCTAAGTGGTAGGTGTTCTACAAACAACTTGTCGGAGTTGGTTTTCTCCTTCCGATCTGTGGATCTTGGCAATCATCTGCGCCCGTCCGCGCTTTTACTGAGCCATTTCCAGGGGCCCACAAAGTCAGTACCTGGTCTGCTAACATAAATCGGGTGTTCCTGTCACTCTGTAAAAGTTACACCCACTGGAATGTGACCACCAAGCAACCTAGAGTATGCCTCTGTTAGATGCGGTTAAGGAACGAAGTGGCCGAGGGAATGAGAGCCGTAGCTGGTGTTGCAGAGGACCAATGTTCACTTCCCACCACCCACAGTGGGTTGCTCACAACCATCTATGACTTCATCCCAAGGGGATCTGACACTCTATTGGATTCCATCAACACCTGCATGCCACAACACACACATGCAAGCACGTACAGACACACACAATCTTTTAAAAATGAGGAAAGAACAATTCTAGGGGAAACCCAATTATTCCCATTTTTGAGATGGCAAAGCTTAGCCCTTAAAGAGACCTGACTGAAATCCAAACCTTCAACAGCTGGAAGTTTTTATGTAGCTGTGTGTGACTTGAAACACACTCTTAAAAATTTGTGATAGTCTCTTATGTAGACGTTTTGGTTCTGAAAATTCATGGGAGCCGAACTAATAATCTGTTTGCCAGGCAGACAGTGGCATTTCATTACATTTATTATGGGCCACTGTAGCGTCACCACGCCCAGGTGAGTAATCCCTGTAAGCCAGCTGTTCCTGGAATCCTAGAGGAAGGACACAGCATACACAGTTTTCAGGATTTAAAATACGTTTATCTGCATTTTCTTTAATTTATTTCACATATTCTTTTCCTATTCTAAATAGTTGCTTTTAAGCTCCTGAGTGCTAGATAGATGGCTCAATGGTTAAGAGAATGAGTAACTCTTGCAAAAGTCCAGGTTCGATTCCCAGCACCCACACGTCAATTTATGACTGCCCATACCTCTAGTTCCAGGGTCTCCAAGACCCTCTTCTGGCTTCCATGGGCACCAGACACACATGTGTATAGACATACATATGACCAAAACACTCACATAAAAAATAAATCTTAAAAGAAGGAAAGGTTCATCTTCAGGGACTGGAGAAGTGACTCAGCAGTTAAGAGTAGTGGCTGTTTTTGCAGAGGACTCAAGTTCACCCGTGTTGGGTGGCTCACAGTCACCTGTACTCCAGCTCCAGAAGGATCCGATGTCTCTGGCCACTGAGGGCAACTACACTCACCTGCACATGCATGCACACGCACACTAAACATAAACAAATTCTTACAAACATCATTCATTTGAGGATGCAGCTCAGTTGGAAGAATGCTTTTGATTCCTTCCCAGCACTCAAAAAAAAAAACATATTGAGGAAAAAAACATATTGAGGACCTAGTACTAATCCAAAATTATTACTGACAGCAAAATAAACCTGTCAGAATATATTGGAGATTTATATTGGTCATGGAAATTCTAATGTAGTTGAAATGTTTGGTTTGGATTTTTTTTTTTGGGGGGGGGAAGTCCTTGGGAGGAAATCTGAATTTCTTGGAATATTTGTGGCATTACTTCAGTAACCTGGAGAAGAAACGTGGGGGCAGGAGACAGTAAATGTTCCAGAACTGTTCTTAGAATAGGGACACTGCTCTTCATGTTACACTGTATCTTCTGTCGGGAAGGGAAGTGGTTTCCTGAGATACATCTGTAACAAACCCAGTGCCCTTTGTTCTGTAGCTCCATGGCATCAGAAGTGCAGCTGTTAGCTTCATAGTTTTATCAGTTAGGACGTTTCTCTCTTTCTCTCCAGGCTTTTTGTCCACTTTGTTAGCAAATTAGGGCCACTATTACTTAAATACACCCAGGAAAGGAAACCAAAAGAAAGGTAAACACATCCAGAGTCCAGTGACTTCTTACATCTCCAGCCTGAAACCTGGTGCGACTCTGTCAGTCATCTGGCTGGCTTGGCTGGCTTGCCTCAGGCAGTAACTTCCAGAGAGTTATGGCTTGTGTTACTTTCTTGTTGCTTCTAAGAGTAAACACAGGTTCTTAAAATGTCCACATAGCTCCATTTACCTTTAGATACACATTCACTACTCTTGTGAAGATAAAACATGGCCTGTATTTGGCTTTTTTTTTTCATTTTTCCAGACAGGGTTTCTCTGTGGCTTTGGAGCCTGTCCTGGCACTAGCTCTGTAGACCAGGCTGGTCTCGAACTCACAGAGATCCGCCTGCCTCTGCCTCCTGAGTGCTGGGATTAAAGGCGTGTGCCACCACCACCCGGCTGTATTTGGCTTTTGTTTCCTGCCCTGTTTTGCTTTTCTTTATAGGTTGATAAGATGAAAACAAATCAGAAAGGTCAAAAAGATTTTTAATACAAGCAGGCCATACAGACATTAAGACATTTCAAGACAGTTTTCATGGTGTATACCTGTATGTGCTCACAGGCTCTGCCTATACATACCTATATGCTTGGCACTCAGGAAGCTGAGGCAGGAGAATTCTGTGAGTTTGAGGACATTCTGGGAAACACACACACACACACACCCCACACATGTGCACACACAGATATAATTCCAGCACTTGAGATTGGAGGATTACTATAAATTCAAGGACAGTTTGGTCTGCAGAACAAGTATCAGGCTATTCAGGCCTGTAAGATCCTATCTCAAAAAGAAAAGAAAGTTTAAAACAAAATTGTTTGATCATAAATGTGGTTTACAGCTTTCTTTGAGAGCTTTGAAGAAGAGTACAGGTTTACATAAGGAAGGGGAAATGTTAAACTTAACAGACACACATGTTTTTACCTTAAGTAGTGCATTAGTAGTCACAAAAAAGTTTTTGTTAGTTGTGTGAAAGTTGACTTTCAGCCAACAAGTAAGATGTTCCTTCCCATGTCCCTTAAAGTCCCATATTTCTGTCCTGTCTCAATCTTCCTTTGGTATTTAGTCCACATCCTCTTGGCCTTTTTTATTTTTACTCAAAAATCATGTTTCATTGCAGTCCCCTCTGAATCTCCCCGCCCCTGTGTGTGCACGTGCATGTGTGCGTACGTGTGTGCTTGGAGATACACAACTCAGGTAAACCAGATTCTTTTTTAAAAAATTGTTTTTAATGAGCTATATGTTTTCCTCCACTGCCCTCTTTCCCTCTCCTCTCCCCTTCTACCTTCTCCTGTGACCCCCATGCTCTCAATTTACTCTGGAGATCTTGTCTTTTTCTCCTTCCTATGTAGATGTATGTACGTCTATCTTAGGGTCCTCTTTGTTGTTAAACCAGAATTCTTATTGCCTAACTATAGTTCCTATCCCTGGATACTCATTTTTTGTTTGTTTTGAGACAGGGTCTCAAAATAGCTCTGACTGGCCTAGGACTCACTCTGTGGCCCAGGCAGGCCTCAAACTCCTAGCAGTCCTCCTGCCTCAAGCTTCCTGAGTGCTGAGATTGGGGCTTGGGATCAAACCCACATTGTGTTAGGTGTATAGTACAGGGTCTGAGCTCTTTACCCATCTGTATTGCTTTCCTAGTCCTATTCATTACCATGTTTCTCTAGTCTCACTTGTTACCATGTTTCTCTCGTCTCACTTGTTACCATGTTTCTCTCGTCTCACTTGTTACCATGTTTCTCTAGTCTCACTTGTTACCATGTTTCTCTCTTGGAGCACTTCAAGTGCTTATCATACTCTTCAGTTAATCATTAAAATTATTTTCTGTCATTGATTTCAATTGTAATTGATTCAATTAACAGAATATTAATTTTGAAATGTCAGAGACTCTCCTATTTTGCTTAAAAAAATACATCAGCAGGGTCATGGCATTCCCTAGGAAGATTTGTGGGAGGAATGGAAGTTACAGAGCAAGGCGGTTTCTGCTCAGTGGTTCTTATGCTCATTTGTGTGGTGGTTTGAATGTAACTGGCCCCCATAATCACACAGGGAGTGGCACTAGTAGGAGGTGTGGCTTTGTTGGAGTGGGTGTGGCCTCATTGGAGGAAGTGTGTCACTGTGGAGGTGGGCTTTGGAGTTCCGGGTAGTTGTGAGCCACTCAATGTGGGTCCTGGGAACTCAGGTTCTCTGCGAGAGCAATGGACTCCCTTCTT